TTTCTTTTTTTTTTTTTTTGTCGGTCGTGGGGCTTGAACTCTGGGCCTGGGCGCTGTCCCTCAGCTCTTCAGCTCAAGGCGAGCGCTCTACCACTTGAGCTACAGCGCCACTTCCGGTTTTCTGGTGGTTTATTGGAGATAGGAGTCTCACGGTCTCTCCTGCCCGGGCTGGCTTTGAACCGCGGTCCTCAGATCTCAGCCTCCTGAGTAGCTAGGATTACAGGCGTGAGCCACCAGCGCCCGGCTTGAACCACATTTCTAACTCTGCTTTTTGCTGGTTATTTTGGCGGTGGAGTCTAGCAGACTTTTCTGCCTAGCCTGGCTTCCAACTGTAATTCTCTGGATTTCAGCCTCTTAAGTAGCTAGGATTACAGGTGTCTATCTTTGCTTCTTGGATCCACCCAAGGTTATGACTGATAAAGTAGACAAATTATTGAGATGCTTCTATTTTTGATAATTTAATTTTTGTTTGGTTTTGTATTTGGACACAGATTCTCTTATATTGCTCAGGCTGGCCTTAAAATTGAGATCCTCCTGCCTCTTTCTCCTGAATGCTGGGATTACAGATGTCCATCACCACACCCAGCTTCTATAAATTAATTTTGGAAATATAGGCATGTTCAGGGATGGCATCAATCACCCAATAGTTATACATTGTGTGGTGATTTATTTTTGTTTTGGGGCCAGTCCTGGGACTTGAAGTCAGGTCCTGGTCACTGTCCCTGAGCTTCTTTTGTTCAAGACTAGCACTCTACCACTTGAGCCACAGCGCCACTTCAGGCTTTCTCTGTTTGTGTGGTACTGAAGAATTGAACCCAGGGCTTCATGCATGCTAGGCAAGCAATCTACTACTAAGCCACATTCCCAGTCCCATATGGTGTTTTTATTTATTTTTTCCAAGTACTGGGGGTTGAACTCAGGGTCTTTTGCTCACTATGGATTGCTTGCTTGGCTGGCACTCTACCACTTGAGCCAAACCTCCGCTTCCAGCTTTTTGTAGGTTAATTGCAGATAAGAGTTTGAGAGAATTTGTCTGCTTTGGGGCTGGCTTTGAACTATACTGATCACATTTCAGCCTCTGACTATCTAGGATTATAGGCACAAACTACTGTGCCCACCTCTGTATCACATTCCTCCTCCTCCTCCTCCTCCTCCTCCTCCTTCTCTTCCTCTTCTTTCTCTTGTCAGTCGTGGGGCTTGAACTCTGGGCCTGGATGCTGTCCCTAAGCTCTTCAGCTCAAGGCTAGCGTTCTACCACTTGAGCCACAGCGCCACTTCCAGTTTTCTGGTAGTTAATTGGAGATAAGAGTCTCACAGACTTTTCCTGCCTGGGCTGGCTTTGAACTGATATCCTCAAATCTCAGCCTTCTGAGTAGCTAGGATTACAAGCATGAGCCACAGGCACCCGGCTTCACATTCAAAGAACTTTGGCCCTAGGTGAAGAAGCTCAACTTTAGCAAGTGCCTGATCCCACCTATCCTTTTCCTTGACTTAGCCCCCCATGTGCATTTCTTCTGTCGGAATGTGCTTCCTGCTGGCCTCTGACAGCTCAGCTTATAGCACTTTTCCCTCCTGAGGCCAAATTCTGATTCTCTCTGGAGAGTCATCTGTCTCTCTTGGTCCTTGTGGTCAGTGTGGGGACCACATCCTCTCAGAGCTGAGAATTAAGGACATCTGAAGAAGATGAGAGGCAACAGCACCTTTCTTCCACCCTGCTCTCTCTCCTTCATCTCTGACATACTTTCCTTTAGATAAGCCCACTTTTGAGGGGTTTGCCCTTAACCTCTTGTTCTATGTGCCCAGCACTCACTTCCTCTCCTTCTTCCTCTTTCAGGCCTTAGTTCCAGTGTTGCCTCCTCAGTGGGCTTTCCCAGAACAGCCCATTAAAATAACGATCTACCCACCCAAGATTCCCTCCCTCTCTTTATTGATTCTGTGTGGTTGCTTTTGGTTGCAGAGGCACATGGCGCAGGGCTGCCGATCAACGTGCTCTTCTAACTAGGCTAGGTCAAGGCAGAGAACCTCCTTCAAGTGGGTCTTGAGTATGGGTTCTGAAACTTGTCTTTCTGCCTCTAATGCAAGGCAAGCACTCTACCACTGAGCCACCTTCCCAGCCCCACGGGTAATCTTATTTATTTATGTATTTATATTTTGGGTCCCGGTCGTGGGGCCTGAACTCTGGGTCTGGGCACTGTCCCTCAGCTCTTCAGCTCAAGGCTAGTGCTCTACCACTTGAGCCACAGCACCATTTCTGGCTTTTTTTTTCTTATGTGGTGCTGAGGAATCGAACCCAGGGCTTCATGCATGCAAGGCAAGCGCTCTACCACTGAGCCACCTTCCCAGCCCTCTAATGCTAAACTTGTAGAATAAAAGCCTGAAAGCCAGGCTCCAGTGGCTCATACCTGTAACCCTAACTATTTAGTAGACAGAGATCTGAGGAGCAGGGTTCAAAGCCAGCCCAAGCAGGAACATCCATGAGATCCTTAGCTCTAATTATGTCAAAAAGCTGAAAATGGAGCTGTGGCTCAAGTGGTAGAACTTTAGCTTTGAGCACAAAAGCTCAGAAATAGCACCCAGACCCAGAGTTCAATATCAAGGACTGGTTAAATTTAAAAAAAAAAAAAAAAAGGAAAGAAAAAGCCTGAAGCGGGGCTGGGAAGGTGGCTCAGTGGTAAAGCGCTTGCCTTGCATGCCTGAGGCCCTGGGTTCGATTCCTCTGCACCACATAAGCAAAAAGAAAAAAGCCAGAAGTGGCGCTGTGGCTCAAGTGGTAGAGCAATAGCCTTGAGCTGAAGAGCTGAGGGACAGTGCCCAGGCCCAGAGGTCAGGCCCCACGACCGGACCCCCTCCCCCAAAAAAGAAAGAGCCTGAAGCTGTTGGCACTGTTACTGTTACTGCCACCTAATCAGGGAGAAGTTCTTGAAAACCACCTTGGAGGAAAGCTGAGCCCACAACTAGTCCCCAAACGTTCCTAACCATATCATTTGAACACTGAGAAGCAACCTTCCCCAGGATTATAAAATTGCCAACGCCCTTTTGTGCCTACACCAGTTTGGATTTGGGTTGTCACCAACAGAATTAGAAGTTAGTCTTTTTTTTTTTTTTTTTTTGCCAGTCATGGTGCCTGAACTCTGGGTCTGGGCATTGCCCCTCAGCTCTTCAGCTCAAGGCTAGTGCTCTACCATTTGAGCCACAGCACCACTTCCAGCTTTTTCTGCTTATATGGTGCTGAAGAATCGAATCCAGGGCCTCATGCATGCAAGGCAAACACTCTACCACTAAGCCACCTTCCCAGCCCCATAGAAGTTAGTCTTTTGAGACCTACCTCAAATACCAACTTCCCTCCTAGTAGCCCATCTCTCATCAGTATACATTTGGTGTCTGCACTGCCTACTGCCCACACTAGGTTGTTTTTCCAGAAGCCCTGCCTGGCCATGTGGGCAGGCACTGGGCATGATGTTTCTTTGCTCCCAGCCCACAGCCCTGAGCTGGGCTAAGCAGCATTTGGTCAACAGTCAATGGAATCATGTCTGCAGTAAATCACTAGTCAGGTTATTATACCCCTGTGTGTGAGGGCTGCTGCTTTTGTGAACAATACAAAAATTTTAAGGTCTCCAGTTGTCTTCTAGGGTCCTCTGCTATTCTTTTTTTTGTTATTGAGGTTAAAGGATTACATAAATTTCAGTTTCATAGTATTGTAAGATAGTGATATTTAAAGTTACAAACATACTTTAACCTTCACAAGGCAAATTGTCATTATCTTGGTCTATAAATTCTACAAGCTTTGACAGTATAACTGTCTCTTCTGCATTGGGTGATATGTACATTTCTTTTCTTTTGCTTAGTGTTAACTGTTCCCTCTTTCCCTCTCCCTCCTCCTATCGCAGCCCTTGAGTTGCTTAGTTCATTTTCATCAATGTCCAGTGCAGCTGATGTGCCCCTCTGTTGCATTTTTTCCCCACTTCCCTCAATTCTGTGCCCTCCTCCTTGCTTTCCTCAGATGTGCATATATATGTGTATATATATATATATATATATATACGTATATATATATATATATATATATATGAGGTCATATATGAGGTCAAGAACATGGAGTCCCTCTGCAATTCTTAAGACTCACAAGGAGACCATGTTGGCAAATGCATATTGCTTTATTTAGTGTTTCTCTGGATTAACAGAAGTGTCAGCAGTGGGCTGAGGTCCCCAAAGGGTACAGGGGCCGCTGGGTGGCCCCCTCCGAGCCCTCTGGGGGGTACAGGGGAAGCAGCAGCAGAAAGAGGTGATGCCCCTGCAGCTCCTCTAAGGCTAGCCCCTTCCCCACTCTCTCAGGCTGCAGAGGGGTCAAGAGCCAGTGAAGCTCCCACATTCTTGAACTTGGTACAAGGATGTGAGAGGGCGGTTATCCTCCTAAGGCATGGACTTAGGCAGGAAAGTTCTTCCTACCTGGTGGCCCCCAAAAGTGATTGCTGGTCAGGGAGCCAGGTGTGCACTTAAGATATGGCCCATGTTTTAAATGGGGCTTGTTGTCTCTGGGAGAGGCAGTGAAGAGTGCTGGGGTTGGGGCTTCACTTCTGGTTTTGCCCCAACCGGCCGTATGACCTTGGGTTGGTGTCGTCCTCTTTGTGGGCGTCTGTCTCCAGCTCTGTAACCCCAGCGGTCTGGATTAGATGCTTTCTCATCAAAGTTTTCTAAATCCTATGTCTAAGACTTCTTTTCCTACTTTGGGAGGAAAATATTTAAGTGGTGATTTTTTAATGCTGGGCATTGAACTCGAGGCCTCACACGTACTAAGCAGCTGCTCTACCACTGACTGCTGTCGCACTCTCTAAACAGGCACTTTTTTTTTTTTCATTTGTGCCTGTACCAGGACTTGAACTCAGGGCTTCTCGGCCTTCTTGCTCATGGCTAGTGGTCAACCACTTGAGCCATGCCTCCATACCAGCATTTTGCTGGTTAATTGAAGATAGAGATGCTCAGACTTTATGTCCCAGGCTGGCTTTGAAATATGATCCTCTAGATCTTAGCCTTCTGAGTAGCTAGGATTACAGGAGTGAGCCACTGGTGCCTGGCCAAAAGGATATTCTTAAGGCAGGAATATGGGGGCAGGCAGGTGGCGGTCAGTGGGCTGCAAAAGGGGCAGGTGGGTAGGCAGACAGAGAGGCAAGGTAGCCAGGAAGGAGGAGGTGTTCAGGATAGGGAAGAGGGCCCCACAGCCTACCCCACTCAACTCTTAGCTACATTCCTTGCCCTGTGTGAATCAGGGAAAACACATCCAGTGTGTCTTGGGGGTAGGAAAACGGATTTTTTTAAAAAATATTTTCCGATAAAGCATCAAAAAAAATCTCAGAGAAAACCTCAACAGAAATTCCCTTCCCTCATGTATTTGGCATCAGCAGGGGGGCTGACATGGCTTGCTCGCCCCATTTTCCTATTGCTGTGGCCCGGCCTGGCCCACTCCTGGGGTAGCTCCCTGGCCCCTGATACCCCTTAAGAGAGGGTAAATAGGGGCAGGAGTTTTCAGGTGGGCTTTGAGGTGTCCCTAGGTCCCTGTCTGGAAGCTCGAGTCTTTGGTAACTGGGAGGGGCAGAGGGGGTAAGCAAAGCATCGGGAATCAGGTTGGGGTCCAGAGGGCTCCTTCATCACCGAGAATTCAGCCGTGGGGCCACCTGTGGGAACAGTGGGAGAAGCACAGGTGTTAAGCAGGAAGAAGGTGCTGTGAGTATCTGTAGGCCTAGACTAGACACAGCAGTAGCAGACTTGGCAGGTCTAGGGGCCTTGTACCTGGAGACTCTGGTCCTCCTCCCACAGAAATACCTGCTGCTCTGGCCAGAGTGGGCCTCTCCTCCCATCGAATACACTGCCTATTCCTCCGTATCCCCTATGCTGCTACTCATCCCTGTGCTGCTATCTTTATGACCCTCTGCATCAAGGAGACTCAAATAGTCCCTCTGTGGCTCTCAAAGGGGACAGTATGGAGCTCTTTGGATTAAGGATATACGTGGGGTGCCTAGAGACTGCCAAGCACTACAAGCACTACAAGCACTACACTCGTAGGTCTACCCTAGCTCTAAGATGACCCCAGGTAAGCAGACCCCACTCACCACAGCCAGGTGCCCATTCTTGGCTTTGGTGATGAGCAGCTCTGAGCCAGGTGTGAAGTCGATGATGCCATCCCTGCCAGGGCCCCCCGCAAATGTGATGCTGGAGGGAAGGGAGCATGTGAGGGCTCTTCCACAGAGACAGACCCAAGGCTGGGTCTCTGCTCTGTGCCCAGGTGCAATTCAGCCCTCTCACCACCTCCACTCGCCTTACCTGCCCTGGTTGATGTTGATATTGTTCACTCGGTCTGCGCTGAGGGCCGTCTTGGTCAGTGTCTCAATCACATGGTCACTCTGTAGCACCACATCCCCCTGGGAGAGCAGGTGGAAGAAAAGATCAGCCCCGTTCAGAGGTAGAGGACCCCCTCCCCTCCCCACCTCACCAACCCTAAATGGGCACCTTTTGCTTATTGTCCTCCCGCTGCACATGAAGCACAAACAGGCTGTCACTCAGACTGCTGACAGAGATTCCTGAGGGAGAAGGGCAGAGGTCAGGGATCAAGGGTCAGAGCAGAGACCCTCCCTCGCAGCCACAGACTCTGGCTGACCAGTCAGGTTGGTGTAATCAATCCTCTGTTTGACTCTGGCGTCCTCGACGATGACCACAGCGCTGGGCGTGAGTAGCAGCTGCCGGGAGCGAGGCTTGTAGCCCTTTCGGTCATATTTCACTACTGGCACAGCATACTGGAGACCAGGACAGAGAGAATGAGTGGCAGGGGGGAGTTGAGGGGCAACTGAGGGGCTGAGAGACTCTAGGTGTGATCTACCCTCTGCCTGTACACTGACCCACCCTTGGGCGGTGGAGCTGTGCTGGACTCAAGCTGCAGATGGGGTTTTACCTGAATGGGCTCAGAGCCTAGGGCCTGCAGCACTTTGGGGCTAATTTCATCGGTGCCTGAAATTCAGAAGGGGGAAGAGTGAAATCAGGTAAGACGAGGGGGAATAGGAAGTGATGGGAGGTTTGAGGACCGCAAAGTCAGGGACTCACCGAGCCTCGTACTGATGAAGAGCCTGGGGACACTCTGAGGGTAATTATCCTTCTTGCCTTTGAAGATTTCACTAGCCACAGCCTTTTGTTGTAGCTAATAAAGACAGAGGAAGAATCTGCCTTGTGTGGGAGTGTTATAAGTGGTGAAGACCACGGGGGGGGGGGGGGGGGGGGGTGAGGGAGATCCCTTCCCTCCTCTCTCTGGTTCTACCACCATCACTCTAGCATCACACTGGTCCCTCCCTTTCTTCCTGTCCCCATCAACCAAGGCAGAGTTGTTCCCCAGAGGGGTCATGACAGTACTGTCTTATTCTAAGACTAACTTCAGGAATGATACCCCAGCTGATTCCTTATCATGCCCAGAAGCTCCTCAGGTTAACTCTGGCTTGGGATCCCTTTTGGGATCAGAGCCTCATGCTTCTAGACAGGCTCTACGACTTGAGCCATATCCCCATCCATTTTATTGTCAGTCCTGGGACTTGAACTCAGGGCCTGGGCTCTGTCTCTAAGCCTCTCTGTGCTCAAGGCCAGCGCTCTACCACTTGAGCCATAGCAACATTTCTGGCTTTTTCTGTTTATGTGGTACTGAGGAATTGAACTCAGGGCTTCATGCATTCTAGGCAAGCAGTCTACCACTAAGCCACATTCCCAGTCCCCATCCCTTTTTTGCTTTATTTTCAGGTAGGGTCTTGTGGTATTTTTCTTGGCAGGCTTGGACTAAGATCCTCCTATTTAAGTTTCTTGCAGAGTTAGGATGATAGGCACACGTTACCACAATAACTATTGGTTGAGATGAGTTTCTTTCTTTCTTTTTTAAACTCTGGGCTTGGGTGCTGTCCTAGTGATCTTCAGCTCAAGGAGAGTGCTCTACCGCTTGAACCATAGTACTACTTCTGGATTGCTGGTGGTTAATTGGAGGTAAGAGTCTCATGGACTTTTCTGCCTGGGCTGGCTTTGAACCACAATCCTTGGATCTCAGCCTCTAGAGTAGTTAGCATTACAGGCATGAGCTATCACATCCAGCCCTTAATTTCTCTTTTGGTAAATAGAAGATACCTCAACCATCAATATCTGTCTCTGTAACCACTGGCAGCCTTTTTAACATGGCGCTCTGGGTATCTTCTAGCATACTAGTAGAGTTAGCCCACAGATGTACCCTATTTGTTTGCCACTCAAACTCTAGTCCAATGTTTACTTCCTACATGAGGCCCAATAATGGGCCTGGGATTTCACTCAAGCCTATGGATAAATCAGGATAAAATGCTTTCCTATGGGGCTGGGAAGGTGGCTCAGTGATAGAGTGCTTGCTTGCCTTGCATGCAAGAAGCCCTGGGTTCAATTCCTCAGCACCACATAAGCAGAAAAAGCCAGAAGTGGTGCTGTGGCTCAAGTGGTAGAGCACTAGCCTTGAGCTGAAGAGCTGAGGGACAGTTCCCAGGCCCAGAGTTCAGGCCCCACAACTGACACACACACAAAAAAGCTTTCCTAGGCTGGAAATCTTTGTATGATGCTTGCTACTTTCAAAGCCCATTGCCTAGTCCCTGTTGCCTCCTGCTCCCCATACCTGCTGCTTCCATTCAGGGCTGATGCTCCGGCAGTACTTCCATACCATGTTCTTCATGCACAACTCTCGCAAAAGCTCTGAGGCCTGTATGGAGAGTGAAGTTAGAGCACGTACTTGCTGGCCTGGCTCCCTTCCCTCTTAAGACCTACAATGGATTCCCACTATCAGGTATTTATTTATTTTAGTCACTGGGCTTGAACTCTGGGCCTGGGCGCTGTCCCCTGAGCTCTTCAGCTCATCAGCTCAAGTCAAGTGCTCTACCGTTTGAGCCACAGCGCCACTTTTGGTTTTCTGGTGGTTAATTGAAGATAAGAGTCTCACAGACTTTCCTGCCTGGGCTGGCTTTGAACCTCAATCCTCAGATCTCGGCTTCCTGAGTAGCTAGGATTACAGGCATGAGCCACTAGTACCCAAGCCCTCACCAGGTCTTTGCAGCAACAATCCCCCATTACCTCCACCTGGAGAGCCTTTCTGACTCAGACATTTCTCCTCAGAAAACTTTTCACAAACCAATTCTACTTCTTCTTCCTTCTGAGCCCTCCCTTTCTGCCCCTCTGCCAACACGATAATCAGTCCCCCTTGAGGAGTGCTCTCATAGTCTCAAACTCAGCAGGGTGGACCCACAGACCTCACGAAGGGCAGGTGGGGGCGTGGGCCATGAAGTGTCTAGAACATTCCGGGGCAACTGCCGCCGCAGGTTAAGCAGAAATGAAGTGCGCACATGGTCCAGGAAAAAAGCGTTCTCGGGGCAACGGGGCGTGTGGCGTAAGATGAAACCACGGATGAGCCTGTAAGTGGTGGGCCAGGCAAGGTAAGAAGCCTGGCAATGGTCCTCCACACACACCTTGCTCTGAGCCCCCAACCCTTGCATCTCAGTACTCACTTCCGGATGGTCTGTGCTGCCCACTTCCTCTTGGCTGCTTTCCTCCGGCCTAATGTTCCCCGCCACCATGACTGGATACAAATGGCTGTGAAGACCATAGGTGGTTGGCCTCTATCTCCTTATCACCCCCCCCTAGTCCCAGACCCTACTGCTCCAAAAACCCTGGGCCCCCAAACCTGATCGTTTCACCCGGAGGAATTTCTGCCGCCAGTGAAAGCCCCTCCATGCAGCCTGGATCTTTGTGGCTGGGGTTGGAAAAGAAAATCAAAGCAGATGAATGTGGGAATAGGACTGGAGTCTGTAGCCAGGGGCCAGGCCTTTGGGCAGGCAGGTGCTGGGGGTGGGAAAGTAAGATGTGGAAGTTGGATGTGGGTGAGTAGCCTCCCAGGCAAAGGAGCCTAAACTCAGTGATTTCCCTGCTCCCCAGAAAGGACTACCCAGAACAGGAAGGCTGGGCCTCCCTCTTACCCAGGCTCTGCCTCCGGACCTCAAGGGCATCTTCTGTGGCAAACAGTGTCTTGGGGAAACGAATGAAGATCTTGGTCCTGGGAGGGCAGCAGTGATCAGTCTCTGGTTGGCACCCATCACATCCCTCAGATAACAGAGATGAGTACCACTCACCTGCCCATCTTGTACTCTTCTGGTTTATAGCCTAAGTGTCTGACCAGTACAGCTACCCCATCTTGGGGCCGTCCTGTCCATGTGGGCCATGTCTCTGGGCACAGTGACTTGTACCTGGGAACAGGAGGAGCAGGAATGCATCTGGCCACATTCCAAAGTCCTCTTCTGGAGGTCACCATCAGCTTTTCCTGGGCACCTACTGGGTGCTCCCACTGACTTGCTTGCCTAGCATGCATGAAGCCCTGGATTTGATAAAAGCCAGAAGTGGTGCTGTGGCTCAAAAGCTCTAGTTTTGAGTAAAAAAAAAAGAAGCTCAGGGGTTGAGAAGGTGGCTCAGTGGTAGAGTGCTTGCCTTGCATGCATGAGGCCCTGGGTTCACTTCCTCAGCATCACATAAACAGAAAAAGCTGGAAGTAGTGCTGTGGCTCAAGTGGTAGAGCGATAGCCTTGAGCTGAAGAGCTGAGGGACAGCGCCCAGGCCCAGTGTTCAGACCCCACAACCGACCAAAAAAAGAAAAAAAAAAGCTAAGGGATGGGCCTGAGAAGATGGCTCAATGGTAGAGTGCTTGCCTTGCATGCATGAGGCCCTGGATTCAATTCCTCAGCACCACATAAGCAGAATAAGCCAGAAATGGCGCTGTGGCTCAAGTGGTAGAGTGTTAGCCTTGGGCTGAAGAGCTGAGGGACAGTGCCCAGGCCTAGAGATCAAGCCCCAGGACTGGCTAATAATAATAATAATAAAAAGATGAAGAAACTGAGGCCAAGAGGTAGAGACGAAATCCATACCCTGATTAACAACCCAAGCCCCTGGCTCTGAGTAACTATAAACCCTACTTCATCCTCTCTAAGTCCCTTTGTTGCCACCTGTCTCTGGTGGCAGGCGTGTGGCTATGATCTTTATGTACCTAGTAGCTCCAGAAGGACAGAGCCTAGAGGGAGCCTGGTGTTCTCTAAGAGTGACCTTAAGCTTGCAGTATCAAGAGGTGCCTGGGTGGTCCCACAGACCCTCAAGATGCTCGTCTTCATTTCTAAAATGGGGCAGTGAATGCCAATCCTCAATCACAGGACTCAAAGCTCCACAATGAACCCCTCCCTCCCCTAGCTCTATGAGCAAACCCTGCCTCACCTCTGTAGGAAAGCCTCATATTTGCGACGATAGGCAAAGCCAGCTCTGCGCACACGCAGGTTCTCCATCAGCCCCAGGTATTTCACCTGGTGCCGGATCAGCACCTCATCAAAGCGGCCTGTAGAGGGGTAAAATGGTGGGTCAGAAGACGTGTACAAACAGACGGTCTACTGCCCAGTCTCCACCCCACACCATGGGGTAGGAAGTACCTACCAGGCTGTTTGGCATCATTGGGCTTGATGCAGCGAATATAAGCGGGTTCCTTAGACTTCAGAATCTCTACGAGCTGCAGGAGGCTCATCTTGAACTGGGTAGCCACCTGGAGAGCCAAGGAGGCAGGAAACATTGACTAGAGCTGGGCCGAGGCTGCTGATGCCTGTGTGCATCCACTCCAAAGCTGTTCAACCCTGCAGTGGCCTCACACCTCTGTTTTCCCTTTACTTTCCTCCCATAACCCCTTCTTTGCAAAAGAGGAAAGGGCCAGACTGCTTACATCCCTCCGAAAGAGTAGAGACTTCAGTTTTGGAACCTCACACCATCCCCTTGGTAGAACTTTCGGGCAATTTTTTTTTTTTTTTGGGTGCCTGTCCTGGAACCTGAACTCAGGGCCTGAACACTGTCATTGAGCTTTTGGGCTGAAGGCTAGTGCTCTACACATGAGCCACAGCTCCACTTTCAGCTTTTGGTGATGAATTTGGAGATAAGAGTCTTACAGGTTTTCCGGCCTGGCATGGCTTCAAACTGACATCCTTAGATCTCAGCCTCCTGAGTAGCTAAGACTACAAGTGGGATCCACTGACTGTCCAGGCTATATTCCTAGAGTACTCTATACCCATGCATTTGGCCATTATCTCTGTTAACTGAACTCCAAGACCCTTTAAAGACTGCAAGCATGTGAGAGAAGCAGATTCCTTAGCAAAGATTTGCAATCTCTTATGATCCTTTTAATACCAGGGTATGTCTCTAAGGGTCCTAGAAGCACTAAAAAGGAACAACTAGCCAGAGTGGTAAAGGGCATTGGTATCGAGCTTCTTTTTTTTTTTTTTGGGGGGGGGGGTCTGATCGTGGGGCTAGTGCTCTACCACTTGAGCCACAGCGCCACTTCCGGCTTTTTTCTTTTTGCTTATGTGGTGCTGAGGAATCTAACCCAGGGCCTCATGCATGCAAGGCAAGTGCTCTACCACTGAGCCACCTTCCCAGCCCCTGGTAAAGGGCATTGGGAAAGAGCTCCTGGAAATGACCTTAACGTGAGACTGAAAAGTAGAAAATGTCAGGAAGGGAAGAGAGGAAGGCAGTCCAGGCAGAGGGATAGGCTGAACAAGGCTTAATGTACACAGGGAGGTACAAGCTTGCAAGAACCAAGTAGGGTATAAAGAAGTGGGGTTAGAGAGGCAGGCAGTCAGTATCATGGAGAGTCACCCTGAGATTAGATTTTTCTTTTTAGTTGTGGTGCCTGAACTCGGCCTGGGCGCTGTCCCTCAGTTCTTCAGCTTAAGGTGAGCGCTCTACCACTTGAGCCACAGCACCATTTATAGCTTTTTCTGCTTATGTGGTGCTGAGGAATCGAACCCAGGGCCTCATGCATGCAAGGCAAGCACTCTACCACTGAGCTATCTTCCCAACCCAGATTTTTTGTTTTGACATTTTCTTAGTGTCTGTTTTCTTTTTGATTCTTTTTTTTTTATTGTGAAAATACTGTACAGAGGGATTACAATTACATGGGCAAGATAATGAGTACATTTCTTATCAAGCATTGTAGCCTCCTCCTTTGTTTCCCCTTCCCATCCCTTCCCATCCTCCCCCCTGCCTTTTTCTTTCTTTTTTTTTTTTTCCTGGTAATATATTAGTTGTACAGAGTTTTGTTGTGAATTTCTTTTTTTTTTTTTTTTTTTGGTTCCGGTCATGGGGCCTGAACTCTGGGCCTGGGTGCTGTCCCTCAGCTCTTCAGCTCAAGGCTAGCGCTCTACCACTGAGCCACATTCCCACCCCTTCTTTTTTTTTTGGTCAGTCCTGGGACTTGAACTCTGGGCCTGGGCATTGTCCCTGCACTCTTCAGCTCAAGGCTAGTGCTCTACTGCTTGAGCCACAGTGCCACTTCTGGTTTTCTAGTGGTTTATTGGAGATGAGAGTCTCATGGACTTTCCTGCCTGGGCTGGCTTTGAACTGTGATCCTCAGATCTCAGCCTCCTGAGTAGCTAGGAATTCAGGCGAGAGCCATGGGCACCTGGCTATTGTGAATTTCTATAGATGGATATAATGTACTTTGCCTATATTCATCCCCTGGGGAGTTGGATTTTATCCTGGGGAGGAAACAGGGAGTCAAGGAGGAATTTGAAGGGAAGAGATATCTGCATTTTGAAACAGCTCTACAGCAAATAATATGGAAAACAGATGGGCAAGGGAGATGGGAAACGTGGGAGGAGGCTGGCAGCTGGGGCTCTCACTCTGGGGAGTAATAACTAGGACTGACCCTGGAACAGTGGTCACAGAGGAGGAGCCAGGAGAAGGGGTTGAGAAGTACTCTGGCAATGGAAATAGTTGCTATCCAGTGGCTGGATGAGGGTGGTGGGGAGGAGCCAGGTGTTATGCCTGGATTCCTGGTCTACGCGACTGGGTGGGAGGTGTTCTGACTTATGAACAGAGTGAAGCATGGCTGGGAGGCCAAGGGGAGATCAATGGACTCATGAGCCTGTGAAATGCTGGCGAGGTCTGGGCAGGGTGTGCAGGTATCCTGAGTAGGGAGGGAGAGTGATCAGAGAGATGGCAGGGCAGACAGAAGAGACAGGGTCCTGGGTGGACCTCACAATGCCTCTGTGCACTCCTTTGTGGTGGGTCTCAGCTTGTAGCACCCTGGCTCCTACCTCCCTCCTGGCCTAGGGCAGGCTGGATCCTACTTGTCCAGCCCAATGGTCATACCTTTGCCCCCAACTCATTGCAACTCTCCCTGAATCTGAACCACTGGCCATACCTGCCTTTCCAAGCCCCTCTGCTAGGATATACTACCAATTTCCTGGCTTTCTGTTTTTGGTCTATGTGTGTACTGGGCTCTCTTGCTGCTAACACTGGCCCCTCACAGGTCCATCTGACAAGCATTTACTCATTCTCTACTTACCTCAAAAGCTTCCTCTTTCAGGGAGCCTTTCTTGGCCCTACCCCTTTCACTCCCTGTGGACACTGGCTCTTCTCTTCTCTAAGCTTCCCGAGCCCCCTGTGCATGAATGCTATTCCCTCTTGTATTCTTGGTACTTAGAGATAAATATTGTAAATGTATATTTGATAGGTGGGCACAAATGGCACCAACAGACAGGATCACACGTGTGGATACCCACATGGAGATGGGTAAATGTGTACACACCGACTCATACTTAGGGGATAGAAGGATACACAGGCACACACTTGGAGATAATGAAAGGTCTTCCTGAAAAAAACCTACAAACACACAGATGTGTGCATTGGCACCAGCAAACATATGATCACATGCACACTGGCAACTCTCAGGCCATGCAGACGCTCATCCATACTCAGGCACCCACACGTCCCAGCAAGCCCACAGCCTCCTCACCGTCTCTGGCCGCTTCTTGTCACTGAGCTCACTCCGGTCGAAGCACTGGCTCATAATGGGATTCTTTGAGCTGCACATGGTCTGCGAGGTAGAGCAGGGGGAAAGGGAGACTCTTGTTGGTACACAGGGCAGATAGAACAGACTCCTGGGCAGAGGTGTATACTGAGCACCCGCACCAGAACCTCCTTTGAGTCCTCACCTCCTTCAGGTTCCGGAAGAGAAGGTCATTGTTTTTATCCAGAAACCCTGGTAGGGGAGAACAGACAGGAAGTGAAGGAAGCAGAGGCTGGGTACTTGGTAGCTCATAACTGTAATCCTAGCTACTCAGGAGGTTGAGATCTGGGGATCATGGTTTGAAGTCAGCCAGGGCTGAAAGGTCCATGAGATTCTTATCTCCAATGAACCAGCAAAAAGCTGGAAGTGGAGGTGTAGCTCAAGTGGTAGATCACTGCCTACTAAAAACAAAGCCAGTTTGAGAGCACAAGGCCCTGAGTTCAAGCCTCAGTAATGGCACAAAAGAAAAAACAAAAAATATGGAGAACCCCCTTTCTGCCCCATAGAGTTCCAGCCTCAGGAGCCTCACCAGTCACACTGTAGGTCACTTCCCCAGCATAGTGCAGAAGGCGGAACTCTCCTCGGTCCAGTGATTTCCTGGTCCGCTGGTCAGCCAGCTTGTGCCTGAGGTGACAAGGGCAGGAAGTTAGAGACTGTTGCTCTAAGGCATGCTGAAGAAAACTGAAGAGCTGTCTAGTAAAGATCACGCAAGCCCTTGGGCTGTTATATAGCCCACATGCCATGTGGGCAAGGCTATATCTCCTTGCGTAGTGATTGCAAGGCTCAGGGAGGTTGACAGCCATACCCAGGTCACACAGCACCAGGACCTAAAAGTAGAAGACTGCTCTCATTTCATGTGTCTGCTGCATGACTCTGCTCAGAGGGTGGTGAGCTGTACACTACATTTTCAGAATGGAATCTGTCTCAGGAGATTACTGAAATCTTAAGCATATTTATATCCTTCAGCCCATTTTTTTTTTTTTTTACTTTTAAGAACTATTCTAAGCTGGGCACCAGTGGTTCGTGCCTGTAATCTTTTTTTTTTTTTTTTTTTTTGGTCGTGGGGCTTGAACTCTGGGCTTGGGCACTGTCCCCGCACTCTTCAGCTCAAGGCAAGCGCTCTACCCCCTTGAGCCACAGCACACTTCTGGTTTTCTAGTCGTTTACTGGAGATAAGAGTCTCACGGACTTTCATGCCTGGGCTGGCTTTGAACCGAGATCCTCAGATCTCAGCTTCCTGAGTAAGCTAGGATTACAGGCGTGAGCCACCGGCGCCCAGCTTCGTGCCTGTAATCTTAACTACTTAGGAGGTTGAAATCTGAGGATCATGGTTTGAATCCAGCTGGGGCAGGAAAGGCTGTGAGACTCTTATCTGCAATTAACCACCAAAAAACAAAAAAGCCGTAAGTGGAGTGGTGGCTCAAGTGGAAGACAATTAGCTCTGAGCACAAAAGCTCAGGGGCAGTGCTCAAATCCAGAGCTCAGGCTCCAGGACCAGCACAAACAAACAGTTTTCTAAACTACTAATCAGAGATATAGGCAAGATTTAAGGCACAAAGATGTCTATGGCTTGTTATTGTTCTTGTTTTCTTGTTCATGAGGTATTGGGTTTGATCCCCAGTACCACAAAAACAAAATCTGGAGGTGGGCCAGGTGCCCCACAGGCTGGGTTAAAGCAGTAAAAGAGTTTTGAGAAAAACTGTCTATTTGATGATGCAGGAAAATGCTCAGGATATAGCATTTTCCTGAGCTTTACACACAATAAGCTTTATACACAATATGGAAAAAAATGTATAGAAAAAGGAAGGAAATGCCTGGAATTGCTGACAATGATGACCTCTTAGTGACAGGGTTCCAGAAGGCTTCTGCACACATTCCAATGTTTCTCTAATGAGAAATATATTTTTATACTCAGAAGCAAGCTTTTAATATGCTACTAAGCAAACAATGCTCAGGGCTTTGGCATTCAACAGCCTTGGGACTAACTCCCAGCCCTGCAATCTAGATAACCTTGGATGACTTCACTTTTCCCAGTCCTAGTAAAATGAAGAAAACATCAAGACACCAGATACAGGTACCTGCTTTTGTTTCTACCCCTCCCACTTCAGGACTATTACTTAAATTAAAAAAGCAATTTCCAAATAGGAAAATCTTAGCTGGGTGCTGGTAGCTCTCTAACTCAGAAGGCTGACATTTGAGGATCATGGTTCAAAGCCAGCCCAGGCAAGAAAGCCTGTGAGACTCTTATCTCCAATTAACGCCCAGAAAACTGGAAGTGGTGCTGTGGGTCGAAGTGATAAAATGCTAGCCTTGAACAAAAGAGCTCAGGGATAGTACCAAGGCACGGACAATACATACATACATAAATCTCATGCTCCAGGGGCACGGTGGCTTGCTTCAATCGTCCCTTACTTAGCATATTCCCTGTTACCTTGTGGCTATCGGCTTTTTTGTTTGTTTTGCTTTTAATGTAGGGATACAACTGGGGTCTTGTATGTGCTAGCCCCCCCCCCCCGCCCCCCCCAGTCCTGACACTTTTCAACTCAGGGCCTGGGCACTCTTCCTGAGTTTCTTTTGCTGAAGGCTGGCACTCTACTAATGACACCACAGCACCAATTCTGGCTTTTTCTGTTTATGTGATACTGAGGAATTGAACCCAGGGCTTTATGCATGGTAGGCAAGCGCTCTACCACTGAGCCACCTTCCCAGCCCATAGACAAATGTTCTATCACTAAGTGATGCCTCCAGCCCTGTGGCTGGTGTTCACTAATAAGGACAGACCATAGCCTTCCAGAAGTTCAAGAGCCCCACTCACGTCAGAAAGTGTGGATGGTGCTTGATGGTGTCCTCCAGCTTTTCCAGGAAAGTCATGTCTGTGGCCTCTCCAGGACGCAGACACTCCTCATCCTGAGGAATAGGACACAAGGTGAGGGATAGACTTGGACGCTGTGCAGGGAGGTGCAGATACAAGGGAAAGGGACAGAACACCGGAAGTCGCCATATGGAGCTTCCAAGAGTAGGCTAGTACCTCACCTCTCCTTGCTCATCCCCATCCCCATGCCCACTCTATACAGAAAGGAGGAGGATGGCCTCTCAATTGGCCCCCAACAGGAGACTGAGAGAAGCAAGGGACCCACCAAGATGGAGATGATACCCTTGAACTTCTCTTCCACCAGGTCACAGATAATCTTGTTGTTGAAATACTGGACAGGCTCCCACTATGAGGAAAGGAAGAAGGGCATTATGAGAGAATCCTGTACACTCTCCTAAAAGCCCTGATGCTCAGCTTCCCACCATGCCCAGGGTTCCCTGAGTGCTCACGTACTGCAATACCCTCTGCCTCATACTCCTCCTGTTCCGATTTGAGTGTCAGCTCGATGAAGAGCTGCTGAAGCTTCTCGTTGCAGTAGTTGATACAGAATTGCTCAAAGCTGTGAGGGAGCAAATCTCATAGTAGCGCCAGGTGAAAAACAGGGGCAGGGGCAGGGGCAGGGGCAGGGGATGAGGACTAGGTCCCTGAGTGGCCCAAGTAAGAGATGCAAAGTAAGGCCCAGGGTGGATGATAGAGGCATTGAACAGGAATGATGGGCAGGGGACAGGAGAAGAGATCAGCAGGGGTAAGGAGGGTGCTGACCTATTATGCTGAAACACCTCAAAGCCATAGATGTCCAGGAGCCCAAGAACTGTGGTGCTTCGCCAGCTGGGGCTCTCAGCATCCTAGGGCCGGAGAGTCAACAGAGAGCATGAAACCCAATGTCTGGCACTGTCTCTAGGTCCCCAACTCCCAGAGAGCCCTCCCACCTGTCTTGGAAGCAGCAGAGCCTTGGACACAGAGCTCACCTTGGAGGCCAAAGACCTGTTGATCTTCCTGACCAGCCAGGTGAAAGTTCGGCTGTACACAGCTTTAGCAAGGGCATCCCGCACGTATGCAGCCTGTTCCAGGTTCAGTGGGCTCAGGAGCTGTCTCCGAGGGTGAGACCAAAGATGAATGCCACAGACCCTCTTCCGTTCCAGCTCCCCTTTGGACCCAGGCAGAGGGCAGAAAGCTCTTACCAGCCTGCCCTCTAGCTCTAGTGAGCCTGGGGGTTGGAGTGTGGTGGTGGTGTGGGGATATTAGAAGAGAACAGAATAGCCGCACCAGAAGGAAGGTGGCCACAGGAACAAGAAGCTTCATTCCTAGAGGTGAGTCTTGGTTCTGTCACCTTCTTCCTATGCAAACTTAGCCAGCTTCCTGTACCTCTCTGATCCACCTGCCTTACGTCCCTCCAGTATGCTGAGGTTATTGAGCAGGTGAGGGGAAGAGGGTGATGGGAAGGGCTACCTTGGACAACGTGCACCCCCTGTCCTGTGGCAGGGGCTAGGCCTCACCTCTTCTCCCTTGGCTATGATCTTCCTGTGTGTCAGAGCTTCTCGCAAGGTTGAGCTTTCCACACCGAGCAGCTGCAGGGGTCAGGGGGAGCCTCGTGAGGCACGTGACGCAATGCCCTTTTGCCCTGGCTGCCCCTCCTCTGTCCACCCTACTCACTCTGGTCAGATACTTGAGCTGGTTCTCAGTGGTGACCTGGGCATTACTCTCCTCATCAGCAGCAAAGTGGATGTTACCAAGATGCAGGACACTGGCCACGATACTCAGCAGGTCCTGAGGGAGCAGATAGATGGAAGGGAGCGGTTACGGAGTGTGGGAAACCCTATGAGGACAAGATGATGAGCTGGTGCAGGGAATAGGCAAAGGGGGCTAGGAATGCAAACAAAGTTAAAAGCAGGTGACTTGGGGACTCTGATAAGGGGAAGGTGTCCAGAATCCCCAGGAAAGCCCTCACCTCCACTTCATCTTCCGTGAAGTCGATGACTGTCAGTGCCTTTCTGACAACCTTCCAGTCACTCTTGTCATTGATGGAGGAGACTTTGGCACACTGGCCCTAAAGAAAGGGCACAGTTGGGTAGCCAGTCATGTCACTGTGCTCCCTGGATGGCTCCTGCCCTGCCTGCCAGCCACTCACCTTCACCAGGTACAGATAGCTCTGAGGGTTGCGTTCCAAGCCCAGTCTACGCAGTGTCTCCTCCTCACCCCCCTCCAGCAGCTGGTAGAAGACATGGAAGTTGCGCTCCCCGTGATTTTGGTGCACTACCCGGGACTTCTCCAGAAGATAACTGAGGATGTGGCCACCCACAGGGGCACCCTGTGGACAGGGCAGGGCACAGGAACTTGTCAGTGGGACTAGGAAATAGAATGCATTTCCCTTTTTCTCCCCTGCAGATTCAAGCTCTAATTCCATCTCTCCCTACAGCTGCGTGGGCTCAAGCATATCACTCTCTCTCTGACCTCAGTTTCTTCACCTAAGAACTAAGAAATGGGGAGACTCAACTCCTATTTCACAGATCCACCGAGATGCCTCATAGGCATCACACATTCAATAGTCCTTTTATTAGCTTCTTTTCAGGCCTTCCTATCTTGGTCCATGGTACCATCCTGCTAGTCATTGGGACAAGAAAATTTGCAAACCTGGAAGATGTTTTTTTTTTCTTTTCTGTTTTTTGGTGCTGGTCTCGGGGCTTAAACTCAGGGGCTGGATACCACTCCTTAGTTTTTTTGCTCACAGCTGGTGCACTGCCACTAGAGGCTTTTTAGTCCTGCCTGGACAGGCTTTAAATTTTGATCCTCAGACCTCAGCCTCCTGAGTAGCTAGGATTATATTCATGGGCCACCAGCACTTAGCAGCTGCTAATTTTTTTTTCTTTTTCTTTTTTTTTTTTGGGTCCGGTTGTGGGGCCTGAACTCTGGGCCTAGGCACTGTCCTTTAGCTCTGCAGCTCAAGGCTAGCGCTCTACCACTTGAGTCACAGCGCCACTTCCGGGTTTTTTCTTTTTGCTTATGTGGTGCTGAGGAATCGAACCCAGGGCCTCAGGCATGCAAGGCAAGTGCTCTACCACTGAGCCAACTTCCCAGCCCTGCTAATTTTTTTTTTTTTTTTTTTTGGAGAGTTTCAGTATGTAGCCTAAGCTGGCTTTTTGTTGTTGTTGTTGTTGTTGGCTGTGGGGCTTGAATTCTGGCCCTGGGTGTTATCCCTCAGCTCTTCAGCTCAAGGCGAGCACTCTACCACTTGAGCCACAGCACCACTTCGGTTTTCTGGTGGTTTGAGGTAAGAGTCTCACAGCTTCCTGCCCTGGCTAGATTTGAACTGTGATCCTCAGATCTCAGCCTCCTGAATAGCCAGGATTACAGGTGTGATCCACTGGCACCTGGCTAGGCCTGGGTACTGGGATTATAGGTGAGTACCACCATGCCAAGCCTTCTGACCTTCCATTTCCTACATCTAAAAACTCAATCCTGACGCTTCAGCCTTCAAATCATCTGGATTCCAACCACTGCTCACCAAGTCCACTGCCACCACTGGTCTGAGCCCCTGTCATCTGTCACCTACATTATTACATCAGTCTCCTAACCGGTTTCCCTGCTTGGCTTGGTTCCCCTGCCATCTACTTCCAACAAAGCAGCTAGAATGACCTTTCAATAGGGAAAGTTGGACCATGACACACTTCTATTCAAAACCTTCCACTAACCCCCTGCCACTCAGTTTTTAAAAAGTTCTTTCAAGCCGGGCGCTGGTGGCTCACGCCTGTAATCCTAGCTACTCAGGAGGCTGAGATCTGAGGATCGTGGTTCAAAGCCAGCCCGGGCAGGAAAGACCGTGAGACTCCTATCTCCAATAAACCACTAGAAAACCGGAAGTGGCGCTGTAGCTCAAGTGGTAGAGCGCTCGCCTTGAGCTGAAGAGCTGAGGGACAGCGCCCAGGCCCAGAGTTCAAGGCCCACGACCGACCAAAAAAAAAAAAAGTTCTTTCAGGGAGGGAGGTGAAGCTTAGTGGTAGACCATGTGCTTAGCATATGGGAAGCCCAGAGGTTCCATCCCCAGCAAAAGCAATGAAAAAATGCTGCAAAGACCCAAAAGGCCTGTACCATCTGGCCTCCTCTCTCATTCCTCTGCTCCTTGCTTTCTTCTCCAGCCACTTTAGCCTCCTTGTCCTTGAATACACCAAGCACTCTTACTCTGATCATTCCCATCTGTTCTACCTGTTCCTCTGTCTCCAAAACTTTACTGAAAAGTCACTCCTCAGCAAGGCCTACTTTATCTGCTTTATTCAAAATTGCAAAGCTGGATGTGGTGGCACATGCCTGTAGTCCTGGTTAGATGAATGAGGCAGGAAGGTTAGGAGTTTGAGACCCACCTCAGTTACAGACAAGATACTATCTAAAACAAAATAATAATAAACTTAAAAATGCAATGCAATGCATTTGTCCCTCACCTTTGCCTAAATTGTTGTTTTTGTTTATTACCAATTGCTATAGAAGGACTTTGTTTTATCTGTTGGGTTTCATTTCATTGCTGTACAAGCAGCAGCATCTGTTATAGTCCATAGCACATAGTAGGTGCTCAACAAATATTGAGCCTATTGAATGGAAAACCCCTCCCTCTGCCCCATATACCCATAGGTACCTTGAAGTCAAATTGCACATCCATATATTTCCCGAACCGGCTGGAGTTATCATTCCGGAGAGTCTTGGCATTTCCAAAGGCCTAAGAGTGGTTGGGGGTATGAAAGATGCCAGGAATTCTCATCCAGCCCCACCCTCCCCTCAGATGCTGCTGTCTCCTCACCTCCAGCACGGGGTTGCTCTGCAGCAGCCGGTCGCGTACTGCGCCACCTCGCTCAGGGGCTGGGCAGGTCTCTGCATAGAATTGCAGCAGCCTCTTGGTAGCCTCTGTCTTGCCGGCCCCACTCTCCCCAGAGATCATTACAGCTTGGTCCCGGCGCTCAGTGCGCAATGCCCGGTACACAGTGTCAGCCACTGCAAACCTGAGGCAGAGGCTTGTCAGGGAGTTCGGGGTGGGGAGGTAGGTGATGTAGATGGTAGAGCCCTAGAGGGAGGGCTGGTGGCCATGCCCGTATCTGATTGGCTTTCTCTCTCTCTTTTTTTTTTTTGGTCGGTCGTGGGCCTTGAACTCTGGGCCTGGGCGCTGTCCCTCAGCTCTTCAGCTCAAGGCGAGCGCTCTACCACTTGAGCTACAGCGCCACTTCCGGTTTTCTGGTGGTTTATTGGAGATAGGAGTCTCATGGTCTCTCCTGCCCGGGCTGGCTTTGAACCTCGATCCTCAGATCTCAGCCTCCTGAGTAGCTAGGATTACAGGCGTGAGCCACCAGCGCCCGGTTCTGGATTTCTCTTGTGGGTGGAAATAGGGCATAGCTTGGAGAGAATGGGCATTATGGCATGGACCAAGGGAGACCCTGTGTATTTGAGAATGGCTTCATGGTCAGATCAAAGAGGGAGAGGACTGTTCCAGGTGGTGTTTGGAGGTCAGCTGGAAGTTGGGGGCACTCAGAGCTAGGGCTGGGAAGTACTCCTAGGTGAGGATCAGAAGGTCATTAAGGTTAGAAGGCTATGCCTAGATAGAACTGGAGGAAGAAAGTGTACATGTGAGCTAGGGTGGGAGCTGAGGGTTCTACTTGGATGGAGTTGATCGTTTTAGAGTGGGAGCTGGGTAATCTCAGAGAGGGAGGGTGGGCCACTCCTGAGAGAGTTAACAAGTCACTTACAAGTGGGGTGGCACTTCGTAGAAGCTGACGCCTCGGTAGCGTTCCATATGCTGCCGGCTGTAAATCTGTAGGTCCCGGTAGGGGTTGACAGAGACCAGGACAGGACCAATATAGGTCTGGAAGTCAGGGGAAGGAAAGGTCAGAAGTTTGTGTTAGAGGCCCTGCGTGCCTCCTTCCCCCACAGTCCTCTCTCCCCACTTGGCCTCACATAAATGAGGTTCTCTCGGAAACGCCGCCGCAGGTTCTCGATGAAGGCAGCTTCACTGGTGAAGTTTTCCAGCAGCACAAAATCCTGTACCCCGACCCGGTCACGGGCAGTCAGGGCGCTCTCCATGGTCACCCGTACTCCGTCACTGCCCAGGGCCTGTGGAGTGTAGCAGTGGAGGTCACAACCAGGAGGTAAGGTAAGGCCACATCTCCTCCCATACCCACAGGCTATTAGAAGGCAGTGGCAGGTGGACACAGCTGGGCTTGGAAAAGACCCAGGTCACAAAAAGCCTGCACAAAGAACAGGGGCCACAGTGGCCAGACGAAACCTACACACCACCCTTGGCAGGACCTGGGGCTAGTGCATATGGGAACAAAGCCATGGAATCCAGGGAGGTGCTGGTTTTGTGCAGAAAGAGGTGGGTGCTGGTAAGGAACGCCACAGAGTGGTAGAAAGAATGCTGTATTGACCTTGGACAAATCCCCCTCCTTTCTCAGGGCTGCTTCCTCCTCAGGGGGGGAGGAGCTGAGTTAGTCCCTTACCTCTGAGCCACGTGTGACAGGTGCTTTGGAGGACAAATGGCTCAAAGTGAATTCTGCAGACAGAGTGAAGGGCATTTTCCCAGCTCTCACTCTCAAAATCTCCATGGGTAGAGAGTTGTTTAGGGCTCAAGCAAGTGTTCCCCAGCAGGGAGAGGGTTTTCCCCAAGGGGCCTTCCTGCCCCAGCTGGTCTCGATACCCACCCCAGAAAGGGGGGGGGGGCTGCCCTCCCTTCCATAGCTGGAGCCACACCCTCCCCTCCAGCTGCTGGACTCCCCAGACATCTCTTCCACTGAGAGTCCCCGGGGGTTGCTTAAGGAGGTGGGGCTATTACTGGGAAAAGCCCAGTTGCCACTGGAGGGTGGGGGACAGAGAGGCTTAGAAAAGACCCTGGTCCTAAACCTAGGGCCGAGATTCCTCCTCAAGAAGATCAGAAGACTAGAAAATTGACACGAAGGGTGAGAAAAGAGGAAGGTGGGGATGAGGGGGTGTAAGACTCCCCCAGAGGTCATCAAGTCTTCTCTGAGCACTGATGGCTGGGTCCCCCCAGCTCTCTGGCAGTGGACACCCCCCCCCCGACGGAGCATGGGGGCCTGCCTCTCACAAACATGTCCCTCCTCCCGGCCCCCAGCCCACCCCCGACGGCTGCCCCGTACGGCGGCGGTCCCCGCCCCTTCGCTCGGGGTGAGGGGCTTTCAGAGTTCCAGGCCATTCCAGGCCCAACTCCGCCTCGGCCTCCCCCCCCCCCCCCCCACGACGGTAAAACTTTGCCAGACGTTTTTCCACCCGAAATTCCTGGGCCGCGCCCGCTTGCCGGCGGGGCGGAGGCGGCGCCGGGAGTCAGGGAGGGGCGCCCGCGACACCCCCCACCTCCCCCAGCCCACCCCGGCCCCTGCCCGCCAGCCCCGCTCACCGACGCCCGGTAGCGCATCCTGCCGGGTCGGCCCGCAGCCCCGCTCCGCTCGGCTCCGCCGCCCGCGCTCTGAGTCCGGGGCTCGGCGGCGGCGGCGGCGGCGTCAGCGAGGGAGGGGCCGGCCCGCCCCACCCCGCCCCCGCGCGGGCCCCGGGCCGCCCCCTCGCCCGCCCCGCTCGGGGCCCCCCCTCCGGCCGGCAGGAGCGGGGTGGGGAGTCCCGGGGAGCCGTGGGGTTGGGGTTGCGGTTGGGGGGGGCGGGCTCCCCGCCGGGCCCGGGCTCCGCCTGAGTCAGGTTTTCCAGGAGGGGAGGGGGGGAATGTCGTTAAGTTCAGGGTGGGGCCCGGAACCCGCGGCCGCCGCGTCTACACAGACCCGGAACTCACTTCCGGGCTAGTGTCTACACTCCACGCGGCCTGGGACCAGGGCCCGTGGGTCCCAGAGGAAGCGCCACCTCCCTCCCCCAACACCAGCCCAGAGTCCCGGGAAAGTTAAAAATAGAACGAAATGTCCAAATACGGCCGGCCTGCCTGTGCGGGCGGAGCCTCCGCTGGGGACACTGTCCACCCAAACACACTCTGTGGGCCGGCCAAGACTTTAAACCCCAGGGGAAAAAGTGTGTGTGTGAGCGGGGACTTGAACTCTGGGCCTGGGCGCTGTCCCTCAGCTTTTTCGCTCAAACCTAGGGCTCTACCACTTGACCCACAACTCCACCTCTGGGGTTTTGGTACTTAATTGGAGGTAAGCGTCTTAATGGACTTTCCTGTCCAAACTGGCTTCAAACTGTGATCATCAGATCTCAGCCTCCTGAGCAGCTAGGGTGTGTGTGTGTGTGTGTGTGTGTGTGTGTGTGTGTGTGTGTGTGTGTGTGTGTGTGTGTGTGTGTGTGTGTGTGTGTGTGTGTGTGTGTGTGTGTGTGTGTGTGTGTTTCAGGATCTATGTAGCCTATGCTAGCTTTGAACGTAAGATCCTCCGGCCTCAGCCCTACCAAGGAGTGGACCATCACTAGAGAGAAGAGAATCTCTTCAGGTTGTTTTTTTTTTTTTTTTTAATACGTGAAGTGCACACTTCAGGGACAGGATGGCTATTGGGTGCCTTTGCTTTGGGCAGTGTCTTCTGGTTTCAAGGGAGGCCTGAGTTTTCCATTAGGAAAAGCAGCATCTGATCTTCCAGGGCATTTGTATCATAACTAGACACCCTCTCAGGCTTCTGACCCCCAGGAGCTTCTCCCCTCTTTCCCCCTTCTGGAGGAGGCCTCCTCCTCCTTCTCCTTCCCCCCCCCCCCCTTTCAGGTCATTGCTCTCTTTCCAAACTATCCCCCACACTGGGCTCTCTGGAGACACAAGCCTTACTTTGGCCTCTGGGTATAAATTAGCATAAATCCTACAGCTGGTGGGGATGGTAATGGCTATTGCCTGCAAAAGCCTTAGCGTTTTCTTTTTCTTTCTTTTGGTAGTGGGGCTTGAACTCTGGGCCTTGGCGCTGTCCCTCAGCATTTCAGCTCAAGGCTAGCACTCTACCAGCTGGGCCACAGCACCACTTCTGGCTTTTTTGGTTTATGTAATGCTGAGGAATTGAACCCAGGGCCTCATGCATGCGAGGCAAGCACTCTACCACTGAGCCACCTTCCCAGCGTTTAGCTTTTTTCTTATTAGCAATATACATAACTGTGGCAAGTCACTTCTCAGTCTGTTCTTCATCCTTACAATTACAGTCGTTTGTTAGGTAGCCTGAGATAAAGCACGGAGGCCTCTCCCAGGCCCTCAAAACCACTACATTCTTTCCCCTTCCTTCTTTCTACAACACTCATTTCACGCTTGCTTGGGGACAGACAGTCCCCTTCTTATGTAGTTAGGGCATGCCACCTCCATCCACTCCATGTGCCTGCTAGTTACAAAGATTTTTCAGGTGCTTTACCTGACCCTCACCTGACAGGTAAGGAAACTGAGGCGCAAAGGTCCCTGAGGACACGGACTTGTCCTAGGGAAGAAAAGCTTGTGTGCCAGGATCCAAAGCTCTAGCACGCCCCACTCTAAGACCTGGGCTCCCCGGGGAAAGAGGGAGGTAGTGGCAGGTGCAGGCTGAAACCTCTGGGGGCAGGCTCATTACTTCAAGAACAACAGCTCGACCAGAGACACGGCCCGGGGGGACCCCGCGTGGGGGCAGCAGCTGGGAGATGGAGCCCTCTGGAGAGGGTGAGAGAACCGGGTGCAGGGGCGGGAGGGGGGGCTGCAGTTGGGGAGAAGTATAGGACGCAGGCTAGGGGCAGGGGCCCCCTCCACGGTGCGCCCCCTCTCCCCCGGTTTGAGATTCAGAAGGGAGTCGTGGGAGGATACGGCCTGCAGCCCACCCACGAGTGCAGTGTCTTAGAAGACGCCGGGGAGAGGGTCCAGGATCCCCACCAGAAGCCGGGTTCGCTCTCCTCCGGGTGCGGCGGGGCGAGGGACGCGGGGCTGGAGAACGAGGCGGGGCTTCGCGGCAGCCGTGCCCGCGCCGCCCCGCCCCGCCCCGCCGCGTCAAGCGGCTGGAATGAGGGGAATCCGTGAGCGGAGGGGTCGGGCGGGCTTCCCCCAGTCCCGAGCCCGCGCGCAGCATTCTCGGGATGCCCGCTGGCGCCCCCGCGGCCACCGCCCTGCCGCGGAAGGAGGGGGCGTTGTGTGGTCACCCCGCGAGCCTCGGGCCGGACACTGCCCCAGCCACCCTCCCGGGCCTGCTCCACCCGCGCTGGACGGAGCCTGAGTGCGGAGGGCGGGTAGAGAAGTGGGGAACCGAGACGCAGCGACCCAGACCGCAGCACCTGGCGCTTCCTGTAGTCTTAGCACTTTCTTTTCTTTTCTTTTTTTGCCCGTCCAGGGCTTGAACTCAAGTCCTGGGCACTGTCCCTGAGCTGCTAGCCCTCTACCACTTGAGCCACAGCTCCCCTTTCGGCTTTTTCTGAGTAGGTTATTGGAGATGAAGAGTCTCATAGACTTCCCTGCCCCAGCTGGCTTCGAATTGTGTGATTCTCAGATCTCAGTCTCTGGAGTAGCTAGGAATACAGGCGTGAGCCACCCGCACTGGGCTCTCTTAATACTCTGTGAACTCCCTGTAGTGTCCCCAGGCAAGCCACGGGATCTGTATTATTACTCCATTTTATTTATTTATTTATTTTGGGTCTGGTCGTGGGGCCTGAACTCTGGGCCTGGGCGCTGTCCCTCAGCTCTTCAGCTCAAGGCCAGTGCTTTACCACTTGAGCCGCAGCGCCACTTCCGGCTTTTTGCTTATGTGGTGCTGAGGAATCGAACCCAGGGCCTCAGGCATGCAAGGCAAGCGCTCTACCACTGAGCCCTTCCCAGCCCTATTACTCCATTTTAGAGGGAGAAACTGAATCTGGGTAGGTGAAGTGACTTGTTCAAGGTCTCTAGACTTGTAAAAAGAATGAGATGGAGCCCGGCACCGGTGGCTCACACCTGTAATCCTAGCTATGCAGGAGACTGAGATCTGAGGATCACAGTTCAAAGCCAGCCCCTGCAGGAAAGTTCGTGAGACTCTCATCTGGAATAAACCACTAGAAAACCGGAAGTGGTGCTGTGGCTCAAGTGGTAGAACACTCACCTTGAGCTGAAGAGCTGAAGGACAGTTCCTAGGCCCAGAGTAAAAAAAGAATGAGGTGCGAATTCACTTTTGCAGGGCTGGCCTGAGCCCTCTGGTGTGTTAGCAGGTAGCATAGCAGGTTGTTCCTCAACGCCCAGCAAAAGGCCTTGTGTATGTTGTGTATCTATTGATGTGTAGGACTTAAGGATGGAAAGTAGGGAACAGTCCATGGCCTTGGGTCTAAGAGCTGGCTGCAGGTTGGGGTGCAACTGCAGTTTATAAAGTGACCCAAGACTGACTTCTCCAAGGACCTCTGGGTCCTCCACCTGGGGAAGGGTTCACTAGAGCCACAAAGAATGGGTACTGCAGAAAACCTGGGGTCAATTTGTGCCTACCTAGTGTGGATCAGGTATTGCCTGCCCTAGCTGACTTATGGGCTGGGGTGGGGGTGTGAAGGAGAGTGGGCAGCCTCAAATGTTGTCCCAGTTCAAGGCCATAACAGGTTTGAAGAGGCTGCTCTAAGTAACCCCAAACTGATACTCACTGAGGCCTCTTGGGGCAGGGGAAGGACAAGCCTGCCACACTGGCAACTCAGTGGCGGGCATGAAGCAGGTATTGTACGTATGTATGTATGTGTGTATGTATGTATGTATGTATGTATGTATGTATGTATTTTTTGAGGCAGGGTTTCATTATGTAGTGCAGGCTGGCCCCCTACCTCTGGAGTGCTGAAATCATAAGTGTGCAGCATCATGCTTAGCTGAATTTAGATTTGTCAAATAAATCTAAGATAGGAAGCTGGGTGCTGGTGGCTCATGACTGTAATCCTAGTGGGGTAAGATTGAGGATAGAGGTTTGAAGCCAGCTTGGGTAGGAAAGTCTGAAGGATTTATCTTTAATTAATCAGCAAAAAAGCTGGAATGGAGGCAGGGCTCAAGTGGTAGACCACCAGCCCTGAACAAGAAACCGTAGCAAGAACTCAAGTCCCTGAGTTCAAGCTCTGGTACAAGCACAATAAACAAAACCTTAGGTCTGCTGGGTGCTGGTGGCTCACACCTGTAATCCTAGCTACTCAGGAGGCTGAGATCTGAGGATCATGGTTCAAAGCCAACCTGGGCAGGAATGTCCATGAGGCTTTTATCTCCAATAAACCATCAGAAAACTGGAATTGGCACTCTGGCTCAAGTGGTAGAGCACTCGCCTTGAGCTGAGGGACAGTGCCCAGGCCCAGAGTTCAAGCCCCATCACACACACACACACACACACACACACACACAAACCTTAGCCGTGTGCTGGTGGCTCATGCCTGTAATCCTAGCTACTCAGGAGCCTGAGATCTGAGGATCAGGGTTCAAAAGACAGCCGGGGCAGGAATGTCCATGAGACTCATATCCAATTAACCACTAGAAAACCAGAAGTGGTGCTGTGGCTCAAGTGGGAGAGCGCTCACCTTGAGCTGAAGAGCTCAGGGACAGCAGCAGGTCCAGAGTTCAAGACCCATGACCAACCAAACAACAACAACAACAAACAAAAAAACAAACCCCCAATAAAACCTTAGGTTTGAGCTCAAGCTACCCCATCAAGGGCTGCTCCAGGCTTCAGGAAAGCCTGATGTGAGGTGAATGCAGAGAAAGTGGGGTAATAGGGACTGATTGCTCCCTCACAGGACCTAATCAAGAACTATGGGTGCTTGGCTTCCCCAAGACCTCTGCTAGGAGTCTAGTAAAAGTAAACAGAGTACCTTGCCCCTTACCTCAATGTCTTAACTCAATGTCCTTCACTTGGAGGGTAGAAGCATCAGCTGGTTAAAAGTCCTGTCATCCTTCTACTCCCTCATTCCTGCTGTAGTCTCCCTGCCTTCCTCCAACCAGTCCATGTTTCCATAGTAACCAGTGATATTTACAAATGCAAATCTGACATCTCAGGTCAAGGGAGTGAATGAAGGTTTATGGAGTACCACATCCCAATGGACGTTTCACATCCATTGCTTTTTTTTTTTTTTTGATTGGTCATGGGACCTAAACTCTGGGCCTGGGCACTGTCCCCCAGCTCTTCAGCTCAAGGCTAGTGCCCTACCACTTGAGCCACAGTGCCACTTCAGCTTTTTCTGCTTATGTGGTGCTGAGGAATCGAACCCAGGGCCTCATACATGCAAGGCAAGCACTCTACCACTGAGCCACCTTCCCAGCCCCATCCATTGCTTCTGTCAAGCCTCTGCATATGGACTCCTCAGTTCGTGCACTGGTGGTCCTCTTCTAGTTCCTTTGCTCATTACACCTCCCTACTACTACACACAGCCATTAGGAGCAGCCTGCACCCCACACCAGCCACACGTGGCTCTCTAAGCTTCTGTGCCTTTGCACCAAGGGCTTCCTTGGCGAGCACACATGGCCTCCCCACTTCACGGACTCTTTCTAGTCACCTTGAACACCACTCAGGTATCCCCCCCCAGAATCCCTTCCCGACTTCCCCCAACACAGCCTTTTCCTTATCAAGCACTCATGGTCCGTCTGTCAGTTTCTCCCAGAAGACTGCTCGGTCCGGGAAAAGCACTCAGCTAGGCACCCACCCTGGATCAAAGACCCACTCGAGGGTGTCTGCGTGAATGAATGAACGAATCCCGGAGCCCGAGCACCGCTGGGGCGTGTCGGAGTTGAATACAGTCGTGGGCGCGCCATTCATTCTTTCACTGCAGAGCCCCCACCCGCCGCACTCGCGCGCGCGGAGGCACCGAGGGGCCACTGGGCGGCGGGGCCCCAGGGGCGGGCGACGGGAAGGGGCGGGACTCGGCAGTTTCTCCGGAACCTAAACGCAGAGCGGGTTTCGGGAGGAGCCTGAAGGGCGCCCCGAGTGCCCGGGTCCCGTGTCCCAAGCCGCTCTTCCCCGCCCTCTCGTTACCCGCTAGAACAGTGAGCGCTCTCCCACCCCAGCCCCACACTGAGTCCCGGTGCTTCCAGATCTTAGGACCCCGCACCGGCCAGGCCGATCCCCGAGTATCAACACCCTCAGCGAGACCCTCCCGCCGCCCCCACCGTAGCTCCGCGTACGGCTCGGCGCCCCGCCGCCCGCCCTTTCCCCCAACCCGCTAGCCGGCAGAGGCCTCCCGGGGCCACGCGGCCGCCTCCCGCCACACGCCCCACGTACCCACCGGCTCGGCTCCTCCGGTGCGCGCGCGGGGGCCGGGCTGGGCGGCGTAGCCGCCTCGGGAGTCCGTGGTCCGGGCAAGCTCTCCCCGCCCAGGGCCCGCCAGGGGCCGGGCCGCCGCCTGTCGTCATCCCGGGCTGGGCCTAGGCTCCAGCGCGAGCGAGCGCGCGCCCGCCCTTGGGCCCCGCCCCACCAGCCCCAGCCCGGGCCCTGGCCCGCGCCCTGCGAGGCCCGCACCGCACTCCTCAACTAGCTCGTGGGACCAAGCGCGTCTCTGTCACACTCGTGCGCGCGCACACACCTCCTGCGGCCGAAGACCCGGCGCACTGCAGTGCCGGGAGCGCCAGAAGGGATTTTCGCCCATCATGCTAAATCCCTTTGCATCCCTAGCGCAATCCAGACCCTCCCTTGTATGCTAGGGCAGTTCTTCCCCATTTCCAGCAACTTCGCCTTCATCCACCTCCTTGGCCCAAGCTACTTGCTCTGAGCTGGGTAGTCCCAGTGCCCAGACTTGGTGGAAAGGAGACGCATTAACTGGACATCGCTCCTGGAACTTCGCGTGCACTTGTTCTCTGACCCCAGAACAGCCCTGCCACCTGATTGCTTGGCATAGTTCACTGTCTAGTAGTCCTTTTGAGTTTCAGGGAGCTGGAGGAGGGATTCAAACCCGGATCTCCGCTTTGAAAACTGCTTCTACTAGCCTCTCATCTCTTGTTCCTTTCCACTTAGGCCTACTCGTCTAGTATCCACCAAGAATCAGACCTGTCCTCTTTGCCCACCTCCTTCCGGATGGGCATGCCTGGAAAAGGACTGCCGGACCCTGAAGAGACATTGCCACCCTTCCAGCCCAGATCATTCCAGCTTACAAGCTTGCATGGTCTGTGAGGATGAACCACACGGATGATCTCCCCGGTGGGTATCAGTTCCACTTGCAGCGCCATTCCTCCCCGTGGAGAGCCAGCCGGCTGAACGCTTGAGCACCGAAGCAAAGCTGCCTGGCAGCCTACTGACTGGCCACTCTGGAGCCAGGAATCTACGGTCTCACTTGGTTCTGCTTCAACTCCAGCCCCAAGGGATTTGGCTGGTCCAGCTCCTCAGGACACAGCTGGAACAGTCTAGGTCTGATTGGGAGGCCTCTTGGCTGGAGGGTTGAGGCAGGAAGGGGAGGGGTTGAAGGATGGAGGAAATGCCTGTTGTTCCAGGTAACCAGAGGAGCTGATGCGGGTCCCCCATGTGGGGACCCTGGGCTCTAGGTCAAAGGGTAGGAGGACTTTCCTCTTTGCCCCAGTGGCTCCTTGGCTAGGCCTTTCCCACTGCCCAGTCTAATATCAGCTGGAGATCCCAGCGATCACTCCCCTAGCCAGATGACAAACCCTCCCCCAAACAATGAGGAACTCTTAGTAGGTTCTGTTCCTCTGGCATGTCCCTACAATTGGACTGTCTGAGAGCAGCATCTTGCCTTCCTCTCTCCTTTGTTACCCTCTCTTGAACTTCTGGGTTCAAATGATCCTCCTGCCTCAGTCTCCTAAGTGTTAGGACTGCAGGTGTGTCACCCACCCCACTACTCCTTGAGTTTTAGAAGGCCAGGTCTGGCCATGTTGGGCAGGTATACATTAGCAGTAGGGGAGTAGGAGAGGTGGAAGGTTTGGAGCCATCAGCACTTGCGAGGTTAGTTCTTGGGTTCCTTGGGTTTGCACTACTAGCCCTTTACTTACTTTTCAACTGTACCCTCAGGTTCCCCCTCCTCCCAACCCCGCCCCAATGTTCCTGTTTTTCTTGTTGCTAAATCACAGCTGACATTTTCCTGGCCTGGGACTCAGCTCACCAGTCTCCAGTCATTCCTTATAGGAAGAGAATGGGGAAGTGGCAGGGGAAACAGACCTTTCCAAAGGGAGAGGCTGGCATGGGAGGGGTAGCTGTCCAATGCGCCCGAGCTCACTGGTTTGGTGGGCAGAGATCTCTCCTGGGCACCTTTCTCTCCCCACAGCTTCACCCGCCCAGGAAAGGCCTGCAAAGCTTCCTTCCTTCCTCTGGGAAGCACATCTAGTCAGGGCAGGCTCATCTCCAGTGGCCACACAATGGCTCTTATCAGCCATGGAGCCAGGCGCTGAGACCCAACACACACCAAGTCTCACATATTTCCTGTTTCCACCCAATGGGTCAGGGGTGGGCCCAGAGCAGCCATATCCTGACTGGGGCAGAGAGGAGGGAGAGCAATCCCCTTTCCCTTTCCGCCTTTCAATCACTGCTGGACTCACCCCTCCCAGTGCAGGAGGGGCCCTGCACAGGAGGCTGGGGTAGGAATGTGTAAAGTACTAAGTATAGGAAGGACAGAAGTGAATGTGTAGAAGAGAAACAGGATCAAGTAGCCAGAGAGTCAGCCCAACCAGAATGGTGCAGTGGATATTTTTCTTTTTTATAGCAACTGTTCTTTCATAATGTTACGAACAGGTGCATTATTTGTATTTTTCTGACAACTGAGACTCCCATGTGGGTAAAAGCAAGGAAGGATGGAATCCTGATTTCAGTCCAGGTTTTTAGGTCCCATTCCTGCATGTATTTTTGGTCCTCATTCCCATCATGAAGGAGTCACACACACAGTGTAAAAGCCACATTTCAATTATCCCCCAAGGTAACAGACAACCATTGCTTGCTAGACACCAGGGAAACTTTTTGTCATTGTGTGGGCCTGGGCACTGTCCCTCAGCTCTTCAGCTCAAGGCTAGCCCTCTACCACTTGAGCCACAGCACCATTTCTGGCTTTTTCTGCTTATGTGGTGCTGAGGAATTAAACCCAGGGCCTCATGCATGCAAGGCAAGCACTCTACCACTGAGCCACCTTTCCAGCCCCAGGAAACTTTTTTTTTTTTTTTGGAGAGGAGAATTGCTTTTTTGGGGGGAGGGGGAGGGATTGGTGATGGGGCTTGAACTCTGGGCCTGGGCGCTGTCCTTGAGCTCTTCAGCTCAAGGCAAGTGCTCTACCACTTGGGCCACAGTTCCACTTCTTTCTGGTGGTTAATTCGAGATAAAGAGTCTCATGGACATTCCTGCCTGGGCTGGCTTTGAATCATGATCCTCAGATCTCAGCCTCCAGAGTAAATAGGATTATAGGTGTGAGCCACCAGTGCCTGGCAAGAGGGGAATTCTTTTTTGGGGGGTCCGGTCGTGGGGCCTGAACTCTGGGCCTAGGCGCTGTCCCTAAGCTCTTCAGCTCAAGGCTAGTGATCTACCACTTGAGCCACAGCGCCTCTTCCGGCTTTTTTCTTTTTGCTTATGTGGTGCTGAGGAATCGAACCCAGGGCCCTCATGCATGCAAGGCAAGCGCTCTACCACTGAGCCACCTTCCCAGCCCACAAGAGGGGAAATTCTTAATACATGTAGCTCTTGATGTCAGAGCCTCAAAAATATCTTTTTTTTGTTTGTGGGGGGCGAGGGTTATTTTGACAGTGTCTATTAGCTGAGCCTTCCTTCAACTCATGATCCTTATGCCTCAGCCTCCCACATGCTGAGATTACTCCAAAATGTCTTGATTCTGACTCCCCTTTCTGCTTAACCCCATGCTTCTAGGTCACAGAGGGGGTCCAGAGACAGGAGTTTTCTGCCAATGACTCATGTCAAGGGTGGAGCCAGATGAGAATCACTCTGGAGGTCTGTGGCTGCCACTCCTCTACCACCTGTCAACCCTCCATAAAAGGACAAGCTAGGGTCACAGGGCCTAACCAAGTTACAGAAACCAATCTCAGTCTAAAGAATTCTCTCTGCTTGGGCCTTAGAACTTCTGGGCCAGACTCCACGCAGAGCGTGGTGTGCTAGTAGGATGACCCCTTCATTCTATCCACTTGGTCACACTGCTTCTGTGGAAAGCAGGGATTCCAGACCCTCTACTTATCCCTCATGGGGACACACTATGATATGCCTAGACTTTTGGAACCCATTGTTGCTTGTGCCACCCAGTCAGTGGAACCTGTACAAATACTTCCCCCTCCTAGGCAGCCTGAGGCCCAGGATGGTGTGACAAGAATGCAAGCCTGTGCCAGATGGGGCATGTGCCTGGCAGGACTGCTTGGGCGGGAACAGGAATCTGTATGTGTGTGGAAAATCAAGAAATAAAATGTCAGTTGGACAGTTCTTCCTGTATCTGGAGGGCTATTCTCAAATCTTCACTGCTGACAAACTAGTTGCTTTCACTCACATCTCAGCAACAAAAACCTGTATTTGAGTGCCAATTTCAGAGATCTGGCCTAGAGAAAGCAAAGGGAGTCTGGCTGAGCTCCCCCTGGAAGTGTAGGTTACTTGGCTCCTTCCTCAGGGGCAGGGCCCGGCTGGGCTCCTAGTAATCCTGGCAGCAGTTCAAGCAGAGTAGGCTGCCAGTTCTAGCCTCCACCCTGGCTTCACTCATTCCTAGTCCAGCTTAGATTCGTGGTTCATCCTCATCCAGTGAATTGTCCTTCAGAAAGAAGCGAAGCGGGATCTGTAGGAATGAAATAGGTAGCAGAAGGGGGAAGTGAAGGTCTTTCTCTTTTTTTTTTTTTTTGTTGGTTGTGGGGCCTGAACTCTGGGCCTGGGCGCTGTCCCTCAGCTCTTCAGCTGTAGACCAGTGCTCTACCACTTGAACCTCAGCCCCACATCTGGCTTTTTCTGTTTATGTGGTGCTGAGGAATTGAACTAAGGGCTTCATGCATGCAAGGCAAGCACTCTACTACTGATCCACCTTCCCAGCGCCGTGAAGGTCTTTCTCTATACCTTGTCAATACCCCAACTGCTCATAGGTATGAATTCCTGGGGCTCTGGCCTCAGGAAACAAAGGATGGATTCAGTTCCTCAGTAATACCTTCCCCTTCTCCAACCATCATCCCTTACCTTGAAGGGTTTGCTTATTCCCACTACAGAGTTCCTACTGTTACTGTAGTAACAGAGGAGAAACTCATCCTCAGTCTTAGGGATATCGTTGATGTTGATGTATACCTGTAAAAGAAGAATGATAGAAACATCAGTTCTAGGGTCCTGCACTTTCCTGGCTTAGTGACAAGTTATATAACTCTTCTTCCAGAAGACAAGACTATCAGGGCAAGCCCAACTCACAGATGTACCTGATTCAGGTTGTCGCTCATGGAGACCTGGTTGTCCCCAGCCCAGACATAGGACACATAGTCATAAATGTGGCGCATTCCCACCTGTGAGGGGATCAGATGAGAGAATCAGTGGTTGGGGAGGACATGGACCTAAGGAAGTCCTAAGGTGAGGGTGGTCTTGCTGCTGGGGCTGGCCACCTACTATGTTTCTTTTTCCTTTCTCTTCCAGGCCCTAGGTAGACAAGTAGCCCTGGGGCAGGTGAAGGTGAGTTTTTCAGTGTCTTGCCCAGTTCCTGTAAGTCCCCAGAAAGGATAAGCAAGTGAACTGTGGTTGATGGATTCATTGCTTTGCCCACATCACCTTGTATAGTCCAATCCAGTCCCAGCAGCTGCTGAGGAAGTCTGGGGAGGAGGAGTAGCTGATCAACATGTCATTTTCCATGGTCCACAGGCTCTCAGGCATCATGGTTATCAGTGGAACAGACATCAGTGGATTCAACTACACATAAGAGGGTGGAGGTTAGGTTGAATTCTTTTGTAGTACCATTCCCTCTGGGGCAACTGTTTCCCATTGTGACTACCTGGTGTGGTGGTGGTGGTGGTGGTGGGGTACCCAGGGGAATGGGCACAGAACTCCACTAGGCTATCCTAGCTGACCAAGGGCCAATGGTTTATTAGGGGAAGTTGTTCTGCCAGTAGAATGGAGCTGAGAGCCAGGTGGGCAACACAGGGAGCCCAGTGATGAGGGTGGCAGTGGAGGGGGAAGAGGTAGTTGCTCAGAGGCTTAGAAAAGAAGCATGGCAGCTTGACTACCTAGGCCTGGAAGAAAAGAGAATAGGAAACATATAATGGTGGCCAGCCCCAGGTCTCTAAGATTTCTGACCCAAATTCAAAACAGCTAGGAAAGGCACAATATTGTAAGACAAAGCAAAAGTAAAGGCTGGTGCCAGGCGCTGGTGGCTCACGCTCACGCTTATAATCTTAACTACTCAGGAAGTTGAGATTGGAGGATCACAGTTCAAAGCCAGCCCACCCATGAAACTCTTCTCTCCAATTAACCACCTCCATCCAATTAACCACTAGAAAACTGGAAGTGGTACTGTGGCTCAAAGTGGTAGAGCTTTGAGTGAAATAGCTCAGGGACAGTGCCCAGGCCATGAGTTCAAGCCCCACAGCCAACTTAAAAAAAAAAAAAAGTGAAGGCTGGGCGCTGGTGGGTCAGGCCTGTAATCCTAGCTACTCAGGATGTTGAGATCTGAGGATTGCAGTTCAAAGCCAGTCTGGGCAGGAAAGTTTGTGAGACTCTTATCTTCAATAAACCATTCAGAAATCTGGAAGTGACGCTGTGGCTCAAGTGGTAGAGTACTAGCCTTGAGCTGAAGAACTGAGGGACAGCACCCAGGCCCAGAGTTCAAGCCCCACAACTGACAAAAAAAAAAAAAAAGTGAAGGCTAGGATGTAGCTGTAGCTTGAAGGAAGTCAATACTACCTCAATCATTAGATGGCAAGGTCCAAGGATGGAGGGAACTCCCTTTGCAATCTGATCCAGAGGTTTATGACAAAGAAAGGAAGTCCTACTTCACACAGCACATAATAAGCCTAATGGAACTCATTAGCCTTAAGGGAGAGTAGTAAGAGGAAATGGAAACCTAGTCACAAAGGCTCAACATGGATTTGACAGAAAGAGCTATCAACAACTCCTAAGAGCTGGGATACCTGACCTGGGAGAAAAGGCAATCATGTCTTCCTACAGGTCTCCCCTGGGGAACGGGCTGACATTAGAGTCCAGGCCTGGAAGGCTTGGGGATGTAGCTCAGTATGGCTGTTCCTCTGCCAAGTGTCGGGCAGCCCAGAAGTTCACCTCCAAGTCAAAGGTGCTGGTAACAGGTTTATGGTCACTGATGCTGTACATCATGTGGCTGACGTAGCTCTTCAAAGACAGGAAGAAGTAGGGGGTTGGAAGACAAGGGGTGAGGGGCTTGGTATAGGGCTGCCGCTTCAATCTCCATAGGATGCGGTCGGTCCATGCAGGCTTGCGTTTTTTCTCACTGGAGTTAGAGAAGAGGAATGAGGAGAGAAGAAAAGGTTGCCATGAGAGCAAGAATGTGCCCTTATGAGTCCCTAAACTCCAGGATCTATCAATAGCCAAAGGCTTCTGGAGTAAAGCTGGAAGGAGCATGACAGCATTCAAAAGGGTGCCCAACAGAATCTGGCTTGTCCTACTTAGCCAATGACCCTCTGCCACATTTGCTTTTCTTTTTTTGCCAGTCCTAGAGCTTGAACTCAGGGTCTGGGCACTGTCCCTGAGCTGCTTTTGCTCAAGGCTAACACTCTTACCACTTGAGCCACAGTGACATTTCTGGCTTTTTCTGTGTATGTCGTACTGAGGAATCGAATTGAGGGCTTCATGCATGCTAGGCAAGCTCTCTACCACTAAGCCACATGCCCAGCCCCACATTTTCTTTTTGGGTGTGTTACTGGGGCTTTTACGCTGGGTCTTGTACTTGCCTAGGTAGGTGTTCTACTACTTGAGCCTTGGCCCCAGTCCCATATTCTATATTTTTATGATTCAAATTGAGAGTCAAAACATTCCATTTCAAAGTTCTTCTTTCCTCAACAAAAGGAGAAAATCAAAATATCTGAGACTTGGATTTTGGAGTCTACGGAGAGGAGCAAGAATTTGGCTTTCTTGGGCTGGGAAGGTGGCTCAGTGGTAGAGCGCTTGCCTTGCATACATGAGGCCCTGGTTTCGATTCCTCAGCACCACACAAGCAAAAAAGAAAAAAAAGCCAGAAGTGGTGCTGTGGCTCAAGTGGTAAAGCGCTAGCCTTGAGCTGAAGAGCTGAGGGACAGCACCCAGGCCCAGAGTTCAGGCCCCATGACCGGATCCCCTGCCCACCAAAAAAAAAAAAAAAAAAAAAGCAATTTGGCTTTCTTGTCTATTCAAGGTGAAAGCGACTATGAGAGAGAAGGGAAATATTTGAAGAATGGTTATCATTTACCCTTCACAGATGGGAAAACAGAGTCTTAGAAGGAGAATAATTTTCCCCATGTCACACAGCTACTAAGTGGTGGAGCCAAAGCTTCAGGTGAGGCTGGCAGCATGACTGCAGAGCATGTGCTCTTTTTTTTTGGCCAATCCTGGGGCTTGAACTCAGGGCTTGGGCACTGTCCCTGAGCTTCTTTTGCTCAAGGGTAGCAACTCTATCCCTTGAGCCCCAGCGCCACTTCTGGCTATTTCTGTGTAGGTGGTACTGAAGAATCGAACCCAGGGCTTCATACATGCTAGGCGAGCACTCTACCACTATGCCACATTCCCACCCTAGCATGTGCTCTTAAATGAGCTAAGCTGCTTTCTTTTTTTCTTTCCTGTTTATGTAGTACTGAGGAATCAACCCCAGGGCTTCATGCATGCTAGGCAAATACTCTACAACTAAGCCACATTCCCAGCCCCTGAGCTTTTTTTTTGCCAGTTGTGGGGCCTGAACTCTGGGCCTGGGTGCTGTCCCTCAGCTCTTCAGCTCAAGGCTCTACCACTTGAGCCACAGTGCCACTTCTGGCTTTTTCTGCTTATGTGGTGCTGAGGAATCGAACCCAGGGCCTCATGCATGCAAAGCAAGTACTCTACCACTGAGCTACCTTCCCAGCCCTGAGCTAACTTTCTTAATCTTCAACTTCCTCATCTGCAAATGGAAACAGTAATAGTTGTAGGCCTCACCGTACTGCTGAGATGATTCAGTGAGTTAAGAGTATCTAACACATACGCTCTTTTGCTCAAGGCTAGCACTCTACCACTTGAGCCAGAGCTCCACTTCTAGCTTTTTCTATTTATGTGGTACTGAGGACTTCATGCATGCAAGGCATGCATGTAAAGCAAGCATGCTACCACTAAGCTACATTCCCATCCCCAACAACTGTGATTTTTGGTTCTCAAAGTCAACTGAGAGACCTGTTCTTGACTCCACTTGCTAACTTCTCTGAGAAGTGTAAGATCATTTGGCCTTTAGAGACAAATTACGCCTCTAGGTAACTAAATTCTCTAATTCCTATCCAGTCCTGCCAAGCCAACTATTGTGTATTAGCTATGCTCTGTCCTCTAAAGACACTGGTGAACCCTAAGCCCTGGGATGGTGTAGGACAGGGAGAAAAGCTGCTGTTTCCAAGTTCTTTCTTAGTGAAGGATTCCATCTCCTAAATGAACCTCAATGTAGTAAACCTTCTTAGGTATTCTGTTTTTTTGTTTTTTTTGGAGGGGGGGGATTGGTCATAAGGCTTGAACTCTGGGCCTGGGCACTGTCCCTCAGCTTTTCAGCTCAATGCGAGCACTCTACCACTTGAGCCACAGTGCTACTTCCGGTTTTCTGTGGTTTACTGGAGATGAGTCTCATAGACTTTACTGCCTAGGTTGGCTTTGAACTGCAATCCTCAGATCTCAGCCTCCCAAGTAGCTAGGATTACAGGAGTGAGCCAATGGCACCCGGCTCTTCTGGCTTTTGTACCAGTACTAAGGCATAGAACTCTGGGCCTCTCACTCTCATGCTAAAGGTTGGTACTCTACCACTTTACCACATCTCCACTTCCAGGTTTTTGTTGGATAATTGGAGAAGACTGAGGATCTGTCTGCTGGATAGGGCTTTAACCTCAATCCTATCTCAGCCTCCGGAGTAGCTATGATTACAAGAGTCAATTACTAGCACCTGGCTCTACCATAAAACCTTTAAGGAATTGGAAACATGGCTTAGTTGTAGTCATCTAGAAAATATAACGTCCTGAGTTCCAAAAATAAATAAAATAAAAAGAAATTATCTTTAAAGAGTCCATCACTGTCTCCTGAGTAAAGTACAAGTCCCATGTAGGGCTTTCCAGGGATGTCCAAACTAATTTACCACCTCCCCAGACTCATTCTGTTTTTGCTCCCGGAAAACTCTTCTTCACCAGGGAGAAGCCCAATTCCAACAGTGCCTTCATCATAAAGCCACTCCTGACCTCAGCTTTCTGTTTCCAAAGCTTTTAGTACCAGCGTTTACCCAACTACACTATACTGTAATTTTGTTTTCCAGTGAGCATATCCATTAGTACTTGGACTCTAAAGGGTTTTGGAGTCTCTTGTATATTCTCAGTACTGGCATAGACCCTGGTAGTTCAACATTCATTAACTGCCTGACTGTAAAACCACATGTTCAGGCTCCCTTCTTAAAAAATGCCCCATCCCTTTTCACCCTCCCCCACCTTTTTTTTTGGCAGCAGCAGCAGCAGCAGCAGGGAGTCAGGGGCCGGGAGAAGTGCTCATACTAGAGCCTGAACTCAGGGCCTCATGCTTTTGCTTGGCCTTTTTGCTTGCAACTGACACTCTCAACTTAATTGGTAATGCAGTCTCATGGACGTTGCTGCCTGGGTGGGGCTTCAAACTTCATCTTCCAGTTCTAGGATTACAGGCATGAGCCATTGGAGCCCTATTCCCACTCTTTCATATCTTAATGCATATAGTCTCATATATTCACCATCAATTTGAAACATTATTTTTATCTCTTGCTTTATTCAATTACTGTTTTAAATAAATAAATATTCCCAACACATTGTTGTCTTTTTAGCAAATGAGGATAGCATCCTGGTGAATCCCAGAGTTTAGAATCTGAGACCAGCTGGGGGAGGGTTTTCTCCCTGTAACTCAGAGCTATGTGCCCCAGGGCAAGTGACTTCACTTCTTTATGCCTCAGTTTCTTCAACTGTTAAGATGGGTTGATAACAGCACTTACATCAAAGGCCAATAGCAAGGATTAGAGAAATTAAGGTGCGTCAAGGGAGTGGTCCAAGAGTAGTAAGTGGCTAAACTACCATCTGCTAGTCCTTGGGCTATTTCTAGACTTCCACTCTTCTAAGGAGTGTTCAGAGACACTGGAAGGTGGCATTTCCATCTTACAGACTAAAGGCACTGAATCTCTAGTCTATTGCAGACATTAGGCTCTTAGCAAAGCTTAACCCATGGGAAGAACCACACGAATGCAACTTCTCTTGCAAAGTATTCCCCCTCCCTAATTTGCTGTGATGATTAATTGCCTAGATCTGGTGCACGTCAGGAACCTCCCTGAGCCCTGACCACAGCCCCTCTCCTTCCTCCAAGACCTCTCCAACTCTCCTTCTTTCCCATTTACATAACCAAACACATGAGTACACTGCTTCTTTTTTTTTTTTTTTTTGTTGGTTGTGGGGCCTGAACTCTGGGCCTGGGCGTTTTCCCTCAGCTCTTTAGCTCAAGGCTAGCACTCCACCAATTGATCTATAGCACCACTTGTGGCTTTTTCTGCTTATGTGGTACTGAGGAATCGAACCCAGGGCCTCATGCATGCAAGACAAGTACTCTACCACAGAGCCACCTTCCCAGCCCCAATACTGCTTATTCTTTCAACTAAGATTTATTAGATGCCACGCAAATAGGAAGATGACAAACAGTTGAAAGATTCACTTTTCTGAAGTGCTTGGGACTGACTCAGAACCTTGTATTCTATCACAGCCCCAGGACCAGAAAAAGAAAAAGAGAAGAAAAGAGAAAAAGTATTAAACAGATGGAGCCAGTCTCTTGACCCCCAAGTAGGAATGTGCCCAATTTCTGGGTATGAGAACTTGCTGTCTCTGGGACATAAGTTCATTTAATATCGCTGCAACAGAAGTATTGACTAATATTGCTCATAGTATCCCCTGCGCATTGCCTAAGGAGAGGCTGTCTGCATTCATAATGGGAAATGTAACAAAATTTAGTGCAATCCCTGACTCTAACAGGATTTCCCACTCTGCCCTCAGCCCTTTCACCCTCCTTTGTAATGGAGCTGTCCTCGTTTCTCATTACATTTTGGCTCAGGGCTGGTCAAATCCACATTCCATTCACTGTACACAAATCACCCACAGTCACTTTGTACAGCTCAACAAGCCTAAAATCACAACTGTCATTTTAAACAGGCCACGGTCTCACCTGGGTCAGGGCCCCTCGAGGTGCCTCTCATCAGTGGTTCTTCCAGACTGGAAAGCCTGCCTTTCTTTCTTCAGCCCTCTCCACTGCCACTGCCTCTCTCTCTCTTTTTGTTTTTTTTTTTTTGGTTGGTTGTGGGGCTTGAACTCTGGGCCTGGGTGCTGTCCCTCAGCTCTTCAGCTTAAGGCTAGTGCTCTACCACTTGAGCCACAAGTACAACTTCTGGTTTTCTGGTATTTTGATTTTTTTTTTTTGTCAGTCCTGGGGCCTGAACTCTGGGCCTGGGCACTGTCCCTCAGCTCTTTAGTTCAAGGCTAGCGTTCTACCATTTGAGCCACAGCGCCACTTCCAGCCTTTTCTGCTTATGTGGTGCTGAGGGATTGAACCCAGGGCCTTATGCATGCAAGGCAAGCACTCTACCACTGAGCCACCTTCCCAGCCCTCTGGTATTTTGAGAGTCTCAGTCTTTCCTGCCCAGGCTGGCTTTGAACCGTGATCCTCAGATCTTAGCTTCCTGAGTAGCTAGGATTACAGGCATGAGCCACTGGTACCCAGGCCTGCCTCTTTCAATATACTCTCTTGAAGCTGGTGACAGAGCACTTGCCTAGCACTTTATGTAAGGCCTTGAGTTTGATCTCCAGTACTGCAAAAAACAGAAACAAAGCTCTTTGCCAAATCTCACTGACCTCCTCCTGTCAGCTAGCAGCCTCCTTTGGCACATCTGCAGAGTTCTGGAAACCTTCTGATGGTTAACTCATGGCTAGATTGATAAGTAATTATTTGTGTCTTCTTGCTAGACTGGTCTAAATACCAAATGTTTTCCTTTTGTCCTCTTAGACTTCCAATTCAAATATAGTCCATGAACTGTCTTCACAGTGATTTCTTTGCTCTCTGGGTATGTATGGTACAACAAATGAGGCAAGCCACATCTTTTTTTTTTTTTTTTGGTCATTTGTGGGGATTGAACTCTGGGCCTGGGCCCTTCCCCTCAGCTCTTCAGCCCAAGACGAGCACTCTACCGCTTGAGCCACAGCACCACTTCCGTTTTTCTGGTGGTTTATTGAAGATAAGAGTCTCATGGACTTTCCTGCCCGGGCTGGCTTTGAACTGTGATCCTCAGATCTCAGCCTCCTGAGTAGCTAGGATTACAGGTGTGAGCCACTGGCGCCTGGCTTGGCAAGCTGCATGTTAAAAGGCCCACTGAAGCTGGGCACCAGTGGCTCACGCCTTAATACTAGCTACTCAGGAGGCTGAGATCTGAGGATCACAGTTCAAAGCCAGCCCGGGCAGGAAAGTCCCTGAGACTCTTATCTCCAATTAAATCACCAGAAAACCGGAAGTGATGCTGTCGCTCAAGTGGTAGAGCGCTAGCTTTGAGCTGAAGAGCTAAGAGACAGTGTCCAAGCCCAGGGTTCAAGCCCTATGACCACTGATACATGATGTGTAAAAGGCTTGATGATAGCACACGGCAGGAGAAACTCAATGAGCTAACAGAAAGCCTTCCTGGCAGAGGTATCTAAATTGGCCTTCAAGGAGTAAGTTTGACTATACTGGTTGTCAGATAAGCTCAGTCCTGTGTACACAGGAACTGATAGCTGTATCTGGACCCTGGCTCCAACCAGGAATATTGTGATGTCCCTAGGTTCTACCCACTTTTAAAAAGACAACAAAAACTTGTGGGTGAGAAAGGGAGGGAAAATCTAGGAGAGAGAAAAGGAAGGGGTAACATTATCCAAAAAGGAATATACTCATGACCTGACTGTAACCCCTCTGTACATCACCTCTATAGACACAGACACAGACACACACACACACACACACCCCAGTGCTGAGGCTTGAACCAAGGGCCCTGCACATGCTTTAAAGTTAGAAGCTTTATCACTGTATTACATGTGTTTTTGTCTTTTTTTTTTGTCCGTGGGGCTTGAACTCTGGGCCTGGGCGCTGTCCCTGCGCTGTTCAGCTCAAGGTGAGCGCTCTACCTCTTGAGCCACAGCACCACTTCTGGTTTTCTAGTGGTTTATTGAAGATAAGAGTCTCATGGACTTTCCTGTCTGGGCTGGCTTTGAACCGTGATCCTTAGATCTCAGCCTCCTGAGTAGCTAGGATTAAAGGCGTGAGCCACCAGCGCCGGCTCTATGTTGACTCTAATTTTTAATGTCTGTGTGGACCCATCAGCCTGCCCTCTTACCTCCTTTCATGCTTGCTCTGCTGCCCTGGCTGCTCCCTGTCTCCAGAGTTCATTGCTTCTTTGTGTCAGCTGCCTTGGCTATGGCCCCATCCTATCTTGCTCCACATTGAAATGGTTCACTAGCTCTCGCTTTCCTTGGCCAGGGTACTTTGGCTCTGCTAATAAGCCACTTCCAGAACTAGCCTGTAGTTCTATAGTCTGTAGTTCTGGCCTACTGTGGATACCTAATCATGCCGTAACTTCCAGGGACCTGGGTTACCTTGCAGGCTCACCTCCCTGCTAAGACAGTCCTGTTGGAAGAAATGAAGAAAATGGTTTTTTTTCTAAGAGAATAGGGTCTCTGTGCTCTAAAGTGGATCAGAGGCCTGTTGGCAGTGATGCTTTTGCCCTTTCATCTAAGTGTCAAGTTTTGGTGATTAACAAGCCTCATATCAGCTTCTTGGGAAAGTATATAGTAAAATTACTGCCTAAAGACACAAATGTAAAAGTAACAATTGCGATTATCACCCATAATAAGTGGGTGTCAAACACTGGGCTAAACATATGTAAGGCCCCCTGTAGCCCTCAACCCCAGGGATGTGTACCGTTATTATCCCATTTCATGGATGACAATACAAAGGTTTAAACTCCTCGTCCAAGGGTCAGATGGCTGATAAGATTGAAAGCATTGTAAGGACTGTCTCTTTCTTGTTCCCTATAAAGTTCTCCACTGTTCTTCATCTTCTCACATAGTATCTGACCAATTCCCAGGCTGCGGTAGGATACTAATGTAAGTCATTAGCTAAGCCAAGCTTTGTGACCCATCTGGGGATAAGAAGGCCTTGGGAAGTAGAGGCAATGGTTCCCAGAAAGCTGGAGTAACTTCCCTTCAATGCAGGGCTGCCTCCCCTGTCTCTTCCAGCTTCTCCTGCCACCATCCCAACCTTGCAAGCACCAGCTTCCCCTCTGCTTTCTCTTAGGCAATCTAGGACAGCTCTTACAGTAAGTACCTCAAGTTGGGGGCCAGAGGTGCGACTCCTGAGAAGTGATATCTAGAGCTATTCCTGCTTCCCTAACACTTCTATTTTGGGAGAGTTCCTGCTGCCACTAGAACTAGCATAATCCCACTTCCTGGGATCCATTTCCTCCTTACCTGGTATCATAGTTGTTGGACTTCTTATCAAACTTGTAGGTGGGTGGGAAGAGCAGGGGACCCTCCTGGAACTCTCGGAGCAGTGGGTCATCTCTCTTGGCAATTCTAAGCTATAGATAAAGACACAGCTCCCATAGCCCCACAGTCCTGACCCATGAGCCCAGCATCACACTTCATTTTCTTACTGCCCCTATGGCCACCACAGTAACTAACTTCCCCTTTCCTGGGAGAATCTTTCTGGAAATATGATCCCCACATGCACAGACAGAGCAGCTGCCTGTCACTTCCTAGTCTTTGGAATATAGGAAGCAGAATCTGAATTCTTGCTCTCTGGAGGCCATTAGTAGACTTGTGTTAGAGGGAAACCTGCGGGGGGGGGGGGGGGGCAAAGGGATGGTATCTCATCCTCTAGGAGGTAAACAAGGTGTAGGATAAGAAAAGAGGACAGGGATACAAGGGGGCTGATGCATGGTATGGGGCATAAAGCCCTTTTGGGTTCCTATTCTAGAGTGCACAAGCAGCTCCTCCAGGTGACAGGTGAAGATTAGGTACTGACAGGATGGTCCTTATGCTATCCCCCCACATAGGAAACTCTGGTAGATCTGCTCCCTACCAAGGAGAAAAGGGCACCCATTAGGAAACATGAGCACTGCTCTCTACACTTTACATGTGGACCTCTGCAGTGGATTCAGATTATTTCCAGGGACCCTCCCTTCACTTGATACCTGATCCTTCTCCCACAGCTGGCTGAAGTTCTTATTTGTTATGGATTCCCGGACAAAGTGCAAGCCAAAGTCCTCAATCCGAAAGTTCATGTCTCCAAACCACAGAATAAGGCTTCAAAAAGAAAAGGGGGTAGCCCAAGGTTTGCAATGTGGTCAGCAAAGTGGGGAGCAATAGGTGGCTCTAGTCTATCCAATCCAAGGGCTGTTGGGGAGTAGAAAGTTTGAAAGTGGTACCAGCAAGAAGCTAGATGCTAGGAGAGGATCGGGCGAGGGCAAGAACATGCATGAGACCAGAGGACTGATCTCAAGATGATATACATCATTCAAGCCAAAGAGAACAGTTCAGAGGGGTATATGGCAAATGTGCAGCAGGCTCTAGCCTTTTCTTCTGTTCTCTCAACTGGCCAGCAGGGCATGCTAAAAACAAGCCCTCTTGGTGATCTTGGGGACCACAAGGTTCTTGACCTGGGATATTTAGAAGCACCTAGGCATTCTAGAGAGAGGGGCTAGAGGAAAGGGACCCCAGGTAGGCAAAGCTGGGTGAGCAAACATATGGGATATATCAGGGGAGGAGTAGCGGGAAGGGCAGAAGAAGGAGCACTACTGACTGGTTGGGGAGCAGAGACTGGACAGATGATGCTAGCCTGGGCTGGTACTGGGGAGAGGGCAGGGGTGGCAGCTTGCAACTCCAGGCTCACTCATGATCCAAGACGTTGGGAATAGCAGATCCCTCAAAATTCTGTGTCTCCAGGATCCGGTCAAAGTGTTCCAACCGCTGGTCATTGTTGTATAGATGGGGAGGCAGGTGACAGTTGATGATACTTACATAATAGCCATAAAGTTTCAGGCAGATGTTGACTCCTCCTTTGTTTCCCTGGTAGGACAGGTGGGCAGAAGTCTGAGAAGCTACTCTGGGTTAGACATATCCTCTTTTCCCATTTTAGGTCTGAGAGGAGATAATTTCATCTCCCCTAGGATCTCCCAGGGACAGACACCCAACACTTCTCATGGTCCCATGGTAATCTCTCCATGCACAAAACTCAATCCACATGGCCGGGGGTCTGAGGTCCCTCTGAAGGAGGTGGAGCATGCAGAGCACAAGGGATGGACATAGTACCAAGATTTTATTCCTGTTTCTTTTGCCCAGCTCCAATGCTCCCAACCCTCTCTAGCTCAAGATCAGTCCTTACCCAGTACCCATAGAGGCCAGTGGGAGTAGATTTTGTTGAGAGGATCTGGATGAACGGCAGATGTTGATACTTAGCAAAGAGCAGTAAGAGAAGCCCCTGCATGCGAACATGAGAGATCTGAAGCAAAGTAAAAGCAAAAGTTATTCATTAAACTATACATGCTAAGTATATTTCTGCTATGCAAAGGCTAGAGAATCTATAGTTCTGAGACACACAAAATGCCCTGCCCAAGCATCTATGATATCTCAATTTGAGACTCAAGAGTTTTATTTTTTTCCTTTTTTCCTCTCAGTTGCCAAACAGTATATTCTCAGAGCTAAAGTTTCAGTGGACCTAGAAGTTGAGGAGGAGGAGAGGAGGCCATCAGGATACCCAGCCATCAAAAGGGTACCAATTCTTCAATGCTAGCCCTACACATGCTTCCATGCTCCTTTCACATGTTGAGATGCTTTGAATGCTCCCCAAGTAGTGCAAGCCAATGTTCTCATGGACAAAGCAACAAAAATACTATATCACAGATACTTTGAAGATTATCTGACAGATGTTCTTTTTTGGCTTGAGTATTCTTAAACGAAGGGAAAGAAGACAAGAAAGGCTTCTAGGGTACTAGAAATGTTCTGAATCTTAACTTCACTGATGTCAATACCAGTATGAATTTGCAGGAAAAAAAAATCTAACAAACAGCACACTTGACTTTCTGTTCTTTTCTGTACATGCTCAGTGAAAAAAACACTAAGCCAAGTGCCAGTGGCTCATGTCTGTGATCCCTGCTATTCGAGGATCATGGTTTGATGCCAGCCGGGGCAGAAAAATTAATAATTTCATTTCAAAAGAAAAAAAAAGCAAGCAAAAAGCCAGGTTGGAGGCAGCTGTCCATGATGAGCTCTTCAGCTCAAGGCTAGTGCTCTACCACTTGAGCCACAGAGCCATTTCCACTTTTTTCTGCTTATGTGGTGCTGAGGAATTGAACCCAGGACCTCATGCATGCAAGACAAGCACTTTACTACTGAGTCTCCTTCCCAGCCTTAATGCTTTAATTCTTTAAATTTTATTTTCTTTTTGTCAGTCATGGGGTTTAATCTCAGGACCTGGGTGTAAACATATCCCTGAGTTCTTCAGCTCAAGGGGAGCCTCTACCACTTGAGCCACAGTGCCACTTCCTGTTTCCAGATAAGCGTCTTTCAGACTTTCCTGCCAGGGTTTGCTTTGAACTGTGAATTTTTAAATTATATTTCTTCTACGTGTTTATTAGAATATTAGAGTTTATCTGAAATTTAAATTTTTCTGTAAACCTTTGACTTCAAGTAATACAATAGCATTAAATATTACATTTAGAATCTATTCTGTAACGCATCTATTTTGAAATTATTATGTTAATATGAAAATCTTATTCTCTGTAGAAAAATCCCATTAAAGTCCAAATTGGAAATATGCTAATTTCAGCAGCTGAGCAAACAAGTAAATGAAAGGTCCTGAGTTCAAAGCCCAGTCCTGCCACAAAATAAACATTTTAAAATTTTGAAAAAAAACCCAATCACATATACCAAAAAACTCACTATAAAACAGATTGTTTACAACCATGAAAATGGAAAAAAAATGTAATAAGCCAGGTGTGGTAGTGTACTCCCAACACTCAGGAGTCTGAAGCAGGAAGATCAAGAGTTCAAGGCCAAGCAAACTGTAGGTGCCTCATGCCTGTAACCATAGCTCATCAGGAGGCTGATATCTGAGGATCACATTCATTCAAAGGCAGCTTGGACAGATAAATCCCAGAGACTCTTATCTCCAATTAACCAGCAAAAAGCCAGAAGTGGAGGTGTAACTCAAGTGGTAATTGGTAAAGTATCAACTGTAAGCTTTTAAAAAAGCTGCATGAGCCAGGCGCTGGTGGCTCACGCCTGTAATCCTAGCTACTCAGGAGGCTGAGATCTGAGGATCGCGGTTCAAAGCCAGCCCGGGCAGGAGAGACCGTGAGACTCCGATCTCCAATAAACCACCAGAAAACCGGAAGTGGCATTGTAGCTCAAGTGGTAGAGCGCTCGCCTTGAGCTGAAGAGCTGAGGGACAACGCCCAGGCCCAGAGTTCAAGCCCCACGACCGACAAAAAAAAAAAAAAAAAAGCTGCATGAGAGCTTCAGTCCAAATCCCAGTATCAGATACATAGCACACATACAAGTATACACATGCACATATACAGAAGACCAGCCTGGAATACACAACAGAACCCTGTCTCAATAAAGCCATGGTTGGAAATCCATGAAGGCATGGGGATGACAGTATGGACACCGGACTGCAATTTGGGGAGAATAGCATCTACCAAAGGAATCTGTAGCTTATTTAGGCTTTTCCCTAACTCTCTGGGAAAATCACTGTTTTACAGATGCAAGACTGAGACTCAGGAGCCTAATTGGCTAATAGTCTACCCTATTCTACGTTTGTCAAAATGCCTACTATCTTCGCTATAGGTAGTGGGGTGGGAATGAGCTATAACCAGTGACCCTCTCTCTTAGATTCAGGCTGTCTACACCCACTACCTGAGTAGCTATTTCCGGAGCATAAGGTACAGAGGCCAAGGAGGAAATCCCCGGGTGGGGAGCATGTACTGGGGCCTTCCAGGAATTATGAAATTTGATTCCACAGGTCAGGAGCCCTAGCACAGTAGAGGAGTCAAAGCAGGGAGAACCCCTAACTCAGGCCTGAGCAAGGGAGGCATTAGAATCTGAAGTTTGGCCTGAGGTTGCTACAAATGTGCCCTCAACCCTACCTTCTACTCCAAGTCCTCCCCCCGCCCCCCTCCGGTTGTGGCTTGAACTCTGGGCCTGGGTCCTGTCCCTTAGCTCTTCAGCTCAAGGCTAGTGACCACTTGTGCCACAGCACCACTTGCGCCACAGTGCCACTTCTGCTTTTCTGGTGGTTAATTGGAGAAAAGAGTCTAATCGACTTTCCTGCCAGGGCTGGCTTTGAACTGTGATCCTTAGATCTCAGCCTCTTGAGTAGCTAGGTTTACAGGCATGAGCCACCAGTGCCTAGCCCACTCCAAGTCTTCTATCTCTCCCATTCATATGCATACTTTATGCATGATTGACTCCCAGGGTCAGGACTGAGCCAGGAAAAGTGATAAAGACTCAGGAATAGATTCAAGCTAAATCCTAACCCACAAATTTTAGGCCACCGGGCTCCACTTTGCAGAGCAGCAGCTGTTATAGTATGTGTGTGTGGCGGGAAGGCGGCAGAGAGAATCTGCTAAGGGCAGGACAGAGTCAGACTGGGAGAAAGGGTGGGGCTGTGGGGAAAAGTAGACTTGTAGGGAAGTTCCAGTTGGAAGGAGTGAAGTAGGAGGAGCTAAAGAGGAAATGGCAGGAGGTAGAAGCTTTGGAGTAGCAAAAGGGGTCAACCCCAAGTGGCTCAACTTATAGTTTACAAATCCCCTCTGCAAGAACAGGCCATAAGGAAGACTCGCCTGTCCACCTCAATTTGTGGCTGGAGGAAGGAGGGGCATCCTGGTTGGGTGCCTAGCCCTCAGACTAGCCTATCAACTTCGGAGGCCTCATGGATGGAATGGGTTGTGTCCCTGCCACAAGCTGAGCTAATTTCCTTGGCTCTACTCCATCCTACCAATCGCTTGGCAGTTAGCTAAGGAGCAAGGAGGCCTGCAGTCTTGGGAAGGCAGTGGGTGGTAACAGGGAAATGGTTCTCCCCTGCTCTGTGAGGATCTAGCTCCAAGTCTGACAGAAAAGCCTCTGTTTGAAGAGAACCAAGGACTAGGGCTAGCATAGTTAGTCTCATCAGGACTAAATCTTGTCTTCCTCTTCTCAGAGCTCTTGCTCCAGCACCATCAGGAAAAGTAGAGTAACAGATGATGATGATAATGATGATAATTATCACTATTGTTTGGTGGTGCCACACAATAATGACATATCTTTTTTTTCAATAATGATATATCTTTTGACATGCTTGGCAAGTACCCTACCACTTCAGCCATACTCCTACTAAAAGTACTGATTCTAAGAAGTATCAGTCAAAAAAAAAAAAAGAAGTATCAGTCACCCAAAGAAGGCAACATAAAAAATTCTGGTATTTCCAGAAGCTGTGAACTAGGTGCTTTGAATGGGTGTATATAAATTTCTCAGGTATGCAGGGCAGAAACAAGATTTATCAATCTAGAGCCTTCTTGCATATTTTCCTATAGTCTAAAAATTCCTCAAAGTACAGTGGTCTCTTAGACTAAGAACCTTTCCTCTATACATAGCTCCCCTTTCCTAACCTCTAGGCCTATAGAAATTTTATTTATTTATTTACGGTCATGAGGCTTCAAATTAACCTGGGCACTGTCCCTGAAGTTTTTTGCTCAAGGCTAGCACTCCATCACTTTGAGCCACAGCTGCATATCTGGTTTTCTGTTGATTAATTGGAGGTAAGAGTCTCATGGATTTTCCTGCCTGGGATGGCTCTGAACTACCCTCTTCAGATGTCAGCCTCCTGAGTAGCTAGTGTTAAAGGTGTGAGCCAATAGTGCTTAGGTTCCCTGAGCTTTTTAGCTCAAGGCTAGTGTTCTATTATTTTGAGCCACAACAACACTTCTGGTGTTCTGGTGGTTAACTGGAGATAAGAGTCTCATGGACTTTTCCTGTCTAGGTAGTTTTGAACCACGATCCTTAGATCCCAGCCTCCTGAGCAGCTATGATACAGGCATGAGGCACTAGAGAAATTTGATGTGCATGATCAAAGAATAATATAAGCAAGGTTAGCCACAGGGTACCTGTCCATCTTGGAGCTTGTTGCTACAGCAGTTTAGAACATAAAGTTAAAAATTAAAGCTGGGTGCCAGCGGCTCACGCCTGTAATCCTAGCTAGTCAAGAGGCTGAGATCTGAGGGTCATGGTTCAAAGCCAGCCCGGGCAGGAAAGTCCATAAGACTCTTATCTCCAATTAACCACCAGAAAACTGGAAGTGGTGCTGTGCCTTAAGTGGTAGAGAGCTTGCCTTGAGCTGAAGAGCTCAGGGACAATGCCCAGACCCAGAGCTCAAGACCCATGCCTGACAAAAATCTATAGGGAAGAATGGGTTATATTGTCCAAAAAGAAATGTATTCTTTTTTTTTTTTGGGGGGGGGGGGTGTGTCAATCGTGGGGCCTGAACTCTGGGCCTGGACTTTCCTGCCTGGGCTAGCTTTGAACCATAATCTTCAGACCTCAGGCTCCTGAGTAGCTAGGATTACAGGTGTGAGCCTCTGCACCATGGCACGAAATCTATTGTTTACCTGACTTTATGCACTGTAATACCTCTGTATATCATTTTTTTTTTTTGTCGGTCGTGGGGCTTGAACTCTGGGCCTCGGCGCTGTCCCTCAGCTCTTCAGCTCAAGGCAAGTGCTCTACCACTTGAGCTACAGCGCCACTTCCGGTTTTCTGGTTGTTTATTGGAGATAGGAGTCTCACGGTCTTTCCTGCCCGGGCTGGCTTTGAACCGCGATCCTCAGATCTCAGCCTCCTGAGTAGCTAGGATTACAGGCGTGAGCCACCAGCGCCCGGCTTCATAGGACTTTCTTGCTGGGATGACTATGAACCTCAATCTCCTGGTCTCATCCTCCTGTGTAGCTAGGATTACAGGTGTAAGCCATCAGTGCCCAGCTTGATTTTTCTTTTTGGGACAAGGATTCACTATGTAGTTCAAGCAGACCTGGATCACTCAGTCTTCCTGAATCTGTTTCCTGAATGGTAGGATCACAGGTAGGTAATATCATACCTTGCCAGCCCATGTGATTTCTAAACCTTTGTTTTATCTTTAAAATACTCAATTTCAAGAGTTAAAATCTTAAAATAATGTACATAAAGATCTTAATTTCTAATGCTCAACACCAAGTAAGCACTTCATAAATGGTAGCAATTATTGCGCTCAGATTTCAGGCTGGGCAGTGAGTAGGCTTGAGGGTGGGGCAGGGTAAGGTACGGCTAATAAGCCCAGTTGCACCTCCTCCCAGAATTCTCCCAAGGGGACAAATATCAATGTGTGAAACTAAGCACAAGAAGGCAGGAGCCCCAGGGAGCCAGATGCAGTAATGATTAAATGTTTTAATAAATGGGAAAAAGTATGAGAGTGGTAGGAAGAACTTATCACACAAAACTTAACTGGGGGTTGATGAAGATAAGACACACTTCTCCATCATCCATGCACCTTAGTTACCTTGATGAAATTCAGAGGAGAAAGTACGTCCATGAAGAAACTGCTCCATGGGTCTTCAAAGGCAGTGTCAGAAAGAAGGCTTATGATCCCAGAGTTCATTTCCTGCAAACTGACCATTCTAGGTCAGAGGCGCATCCCCTCATCTGGAGGATATTACCTCTGCCACAAACATTTAGTACTGCCCACACCCAGAGCCTAGGTTCTGATGGCCATGATCTGACCCTCCCATTACTTTCAACCCCTTCCCATCGCTAACCCAGGACAAGAGACACAAGCTGGCCCCAATGAGGTTGAAAGGTCTTCATCTTCAGACTCCAAAACAAGGAAGGATAGGTTACAATGGTACCTCATGGTAGACATCATCTCCAGGGATACAGGATAGGTGAATGGGATCCTGCAGATACATACCCAATAATATACATATCCAGATTCAGGTTCTGGTTGTTCAGGAGAAGTAGGTCACTCAGGTCTTGAGGGGGAGCTGCTGCAGCCACATTCCATGTCACAACATGTATACTGTAGTAGAGATGCAAAAGGAAGGCTAAGAAGAAGGCTGAAATCTTGTCTAGGTAACGGACAAAGATTTAAAACTCTTAATGGCTGCCACTGCAGTGATAGTGGGAAATATATTTCTATATTTGGTAAACCCTTGGTCTTCACTTTTGTCCTCTGAAATAGGAACCTCTACCCTCTAACCTCCTCCATGTAGGCCTACAGCTGTCCATATCTGGGGAGAACTTGGTGCAAAAGGAACCCAAAAGGTTTTAGAAGTGATGATGGATGGGCTGAATAGTCAGCAATTTGTTAGCTCTCCAGCTATCCATACCTCAGCAACCATCTATGGCAGCAACTTCCTACCACTGCTCCTCAAGCCAGGGGTTGTACCTGTCAGAGTCCTTAGAACTATAAGGATGGAAAATTTAAAAATAACAAGCCATAGCTGGGAAGGGGGCTCAGTGGTAGAGTGCTTGCCTTGTATGAATGAGGCCCTAGGTTTGATTCCTCAGCACCACATAAGCAAAAAAGCTGGAAGTGGTGCTGTGGCTCAAGTGGTAGAGCACTAGCCTTGAGCTGAAGAGCTGAGGGACAGCGCCCAGGCCCAGAGTTCAGGCCCTACGACTGACAAAAAATAAAAAAATAAAAACAAAAAACAAAACAAAAAAAACCAAGTCAGGCACTGGTGGCTTGTCCCTGTAATCCTTGCTACTGAGGCTGAGATCTAAGGTTTGCAGTTCAAAGCCAGCTTAGGCAGGAATATTTGTGGGATTCTTTGTTTTTTGTTTTTTTTTTTTGTCGGTCATAGGGCTTAAACTCTGGGCCTGGGCGCTGTCCCTCAGCTCTTCAGCTCAAGGCGAGCGCTCTACCACTTGAGCTACAGCGCCACTTCCGGTTTTCTGGTGGTTTATTGGAGATAGGAGTCTCATGGTCTCTCCTGCCCGGGCTGGCTTTGAACCGTGATCCTCAGATCTCAGCCTCCTGAGTAGCTAGGATTACAGGCGTGAGCCACCAGCGCCCGGCTGTTTGTGGGATTCTTATCTTCAACTAATCACCAAAAAGCTAGAAGTGGAGCTATGTCTCAAGTGGCAGAGTGGTAGTGTTGACCAAAAAAATCTCAGGGCCGGCATGCAGGCCCTGAGTTCAAACTCTAGGACTGGCAAAAAGAGAACACGACAACATTCTCTCCTATCTAGCAGACTCCCTAAACACAACAAATTCTACCAAACCCTCAGGGAGCCTGAGGAAATGCTACAAACAGGTTTCTCAATATCTCTTTCAAGAGTCACCATCACCTTTATAATAACAATAAAAAAATAAAAATTAAAAAAAAGCCTACCCTCTACTGGGAAAAGTTACCAGTTGGATAATATTCTCCATTATTAATTCCACACAAATTAAGAGGCCTAGACCAGCAGCTCTCAATAACACTATATCCCAACAGCCTCTCAGGGGAGATTTGAAGTCTTTTCTAAGTAGTGAAACTCTCCATCTGGAGAGGGATGTCCAAGAGGAATCCCTTGAAGATTCTTTTGTTTGTTTTTTGTTGGTCATGGGGCTTGAACTTTGGGCCTGGACCCTTTACTTCAGCTCTTCAGCTCAAGGGGCGCATTCTACCACTTGAGCCTCAGCGCCACTCCAGTTTTCTGGTGGTTAATTGGAGATAAGAGTCTTATGGACTTTCCTGTCTGTGCTGGCTTTGAACCATGATCCTCAGATCTCAGCCTTCTGAGTAGCTGAGGGACAGCTGAGCCATTGACATCTGGCTGAAGATTCTTTATTTTTTTATTATGTTTTTTTGGAGGGGTCCAGTCAAGGGGCCTGAACTCTGGGCCTGGGCGCTGTCCCTCAGCTCTTCAGCTCAAGGCTAGCACTCTACCACTTGAGCCACAGCGCCACTTCTGGCTTTTTTCTTTTTGCTTATGTGGTGTTGAGGAATCGAACCCAGGGCCTCATGCATGCAAGGCAAGCACTCTACCACTGAGCCACCTTCCCAGCCCCATGGCTGAAGATTCTTTAAATGAATAGTTACAGCAACACTCCAAGGAAGCCCAAATGGTGCTGATAATGTAGCAGAAGCTCCAGTCCCCACAGACACACAAGACAGCCACCAAACCAATGAGTTCCACAAAAACTGAGAGAAGGTATGGAAGCACCTGCAAGCAGCTAAACATCCAGTATGGGTGAGGAGGATTAAAGAAGAGTGGAAATTGATGTAAAACATCTCTTCTTGGGCTGGGAATGTGGCTTAGTGGTAGTGTGCTTGCCTAACATGCATGAAGTCCTGGGTTCCATTTCTCAGTACCACATAACCAGAAAAGGTTGGAAGTGGCACTGTGGCTCAAGTGGTAGAGTGCTAGCTTTGAGCAAAAGAAGCTCAGGGACAGTGCCCAGACCCTAAGTTCAAGCCCCAGGACTGGTAAAACAAAAAAACAAAAGACAAGCAAAAACCAGGAACCCAAGGGAAGACAAGTGCTAGAGCAGCTGCCTAACAATGGATTTGACAAATCGATTAAAGTACCAATATTGTCCAACAAATAAATAAATAAATCTCTTAGCCACGAATTGAAGAAATTCCTGACCAGCTTAAAACAACACCCTGTCCCTCTCTATGAGCATGAACATAAAATAATAATAATAAAAAACCTTTCTCAAGAACCCGGTGAGATTCATTTGTTTACGATCTCCCCCTGCTGTCCAACTGAGAATTAAGGCTCCCTGTTTTCCCAGGCACTAGCTTTAAGAAGTTGGGGTTTCTTGTCCCCACTCTGTCAGATTCGACTATTAGCATCAAATCCTCACAGTCACTCGCTCTAATTGGACGGAAAATGGAAATCGGATTTTTTTTTGGGGGGTGTCTTTACTCTTAAATTCAGCTATGAGCAGCAAATCCAGGCATTGTGACTTAACGCTACGGCGGGGATTAGCACTGTTCCTTGTGAAAGAGCAGGCATGAGACCAAGCTTCACTTCACTAAAGGATCTTATCTTAATCTGATTTCGGATATCCGGAGGTCTTTTCGGGACCAGACAGATTCCAAGGGGGGGGGGGGGGTGTGCGTGCTGATGAAAAGCAGCGACAACATTTCTATTCTAGACCCCAGGGACGAACACCTTCTGCCTCCTCAGAAACCATGGGGACACCCGCCTGGGGCGCCCCAACGGGAATGAGCTCGGCGGCCTGGTAAATGTAGAGTCGCCGCGAGGCTCAAGCCCAATACACATTCCTGGATACTGGTCTAGGGACACTTGCGAAGGTCTCGGGACCAGGTCGGCCACACCAGTGGCCTCCGCCCTCCCAGCGCTGCCCGGCCCCAGGCCTGCAGCCCGGCAGGTGCGGACCAGCCGGCACGCAGGCGTGGCCTCACCTGAGCTTAGTGCGTTTGGGTCCGCTCGGCTTCCGCTGGTTGACAGCCGCCATCATCCCCACCCGGTGGCCCCGCCGCGGGCTCTGGTCTCCCCGCTCCGGCCGGTGGAGGCCAGAGCAGCCTCTCCAGCGCAGGTCTCGTTCGCCCCTCTCGCCGGCTTGTTTTTCTTCCGGATTCTGACCGCCCGCTTCGGCTTCCGTAAGAGGCGGGCTTTTCTACGTTGACGGCTCTGGCTGGTGAAGCTCGGGAGGAGAGGCGGGACTCTCCAACGAGCGCGAAACCGCCAGCCGTTGAGCCGGAGGGCTCCCGGACACGGGGAAGAGGAGGCGGGTCTTGCGACCACTGTCCCCGCCCGCGTGGGGGGGGCCCACGCCTGAACCTGCCCGCCTCGAGTAAGGAAGGCGCGCGAGGGGGCGGAGCCGCCACACGCCTTCCGGGGGAAGTCGCCTTGACGCCCCGCCCCGCCCCACCCTTTTCAGTCTTCAGTCGTGAGTGCTGACTTGGGCGCTGCTTTCCCGCGGGCCTACTCCCGCCAGCCCAGATCGAGGGAGCAGATTGGGGTAGGGACACCCAGTGTAGCCACGGGCCTGACTGTGACACCTCTCCCCTTGCAGGTAACTTCCTCAGTTCCCATGGCAACCTCACGTTAGTCACTGAGCTCCTGCATTCTCAGTTCTCTTTTGGATGGCTTTTGCTGTTCGAACTTGGTTTACGTATTACACATGGGACGTTCTGGGGTCCCAGGACTCTTGGAAAACTAGGCATGGATGAATGAAAAATAAGTTACTGTTTCTGTTTGGTATAAATTCAAGACTACACGTAAAATGAACGTTATTTTTACTTTGCCGAAGATTCACTATGACCTCCTTCAAATCCTTCCTTAAGTCTTTTGTTGTTGGTAGAAGAGATAATGCATGAGATTCCTTTGACAGCTATGACCTTCCCCAGAAAAATGCACACAAACTTTACAAACAAGCCTTAAGAGGTTGACAAAATGGAATCCAATTAAGAATTTCTAATTTAGCTTGGCATTGTAGAGTGCTTCTATATTCCCACTAGGAAGCTGAAGCAGGTGACTGCCTGAAGCACAGGGGTCAAAGGCTTCAGGTCAGCCCTGGCAACAGAGACCTTGTCCCTAAGGGGAATAAAAACTGCTTGTCACCATCAACAAAAAACCCAAACCAACGAAGGAAGCAAAAACTTCTATGTTAAACATCTTGGTAGGGTGGACAAAAAGGGATGTTTGAAGACAAAGGGACATAGGCAAAAATGAAATACTGCCAGTAGAAAATGGCTGTATTACATTTAGATATGCAATGTTGCATAAGTAAATCAACAAAGGGAATGGTTTGAAATTTTACCTACAGAAATTCCCAGAGACACTACTGTACCTTTTCCCAATTGTGGTTTGGCGAAATCGGGGACATCAGTAGGAATTTGAGGATATCTAAATTATAAAGTGGACCTAAGAACATCACCAATAAGCTGGACTCCAGGAATCTCTGTCTAGGATTTTATTAGACTGCTTTTTCCCCCAATATACCTGTATTGGAAGATTGAGACAAAAAGGCACAAACTCACATTAAATAAACAAGGTAATCTAATCAGTTCTACAAAGTGTAGTTTGTAAAAGAAGTAGCACTAGGAACCAACCAAAAATAAGTCAGGGAGTCCCAGTAGGGACTGTAAAAGGAAAACTTGGAAAGATATGTGCCCACAATACTGACCCTGTCCCCGGTCTCTCTCCGTGAGAATGCCAGAGCCCAGCGGCCTTCTTGTGAAGCACTGCTGCTTTGAGTTGGAATTAAGACCCTGGAAATCTAATGGAAGCAGCTGGTCTGAAGGGGCATGGCACACCCTCAGGTATTATCCCTGGAGCTGGGCCTTTGATCATAAGTCCCTCTGAGTGCTCATCAGTTGGGGGTGGGTGAAGAGGGGAGAAGGTACTTAAAAGAAGCCAACATTTTTGTCCAGCAGCAATACCATCCATGGAGATAGAATAGAGCAGAGATGTCCTTCCTTTATGTTTACATGGCCAGGAGCTCCAGATCCAGGCTGATCTCAGTAAGTCTAGTTCAGTTCACTTGGATGCTTTCAAATGTGGGCAATAGGTGGAGGCAGGAAGAGCGAGAGAAAAAGGCAGATACAAAGCAAGCCCCCATGATAGTCAATATGTATGGATATAGTGATATGTATGGGTTTCAAAGAATAGCTAACGGAAGGAGATGAACATTGGTGGCCCTCATACCACATAAACAACTGTCTGCCTAGAGTATCAATTTCTTCCAACATACCTCATTTCTGGAATTTATCTAGTTGATGAATGAAGAAGTAAAATCTTTAAGCACAAATATAATTAATAGGTAATACAGAGCTTGTAGGAAAATATTTACATATTTCTCCAGTAGGAATGCCTCTTCTCCAACTTTCCCAGTCCAGTATTTATGCTATCAGCAGTTGAAATGCCCCAAGTCCAGTGTAGACCCTACAAAGTGAGGAGCCTAATACAAAGGAAGGTGTCTGTAATGGACATCTTCTGGTCCCAAAGGGACCTCAATGAAGGTCAGAGCTAACGATTTTGAGGGGCTTAAATCTGTCCACCCTTGCCCTAGGGAGCCATCCAATCAGGATGTCTCAGGTGCAGTTCTCTGAGACACTCCCTTATTGCACTTAGAAATGAATAAGGCAAACAAACTGACAAAAAAAAAAAAAAAAACCAAAACAAGGATAAATTAACCGATCCTAGTTGTCATTCTTCCAACAGAGATTTGGTCCCTCTTATTAGCAGAGGTACCTGGTTAGCATGGGCTTGAATCACTGAACACTCAAGCCAACTTATTTCATAAGGTTTGGGAAATATTAGTGACACTACAGCTATCTAAGATTCTTCCACCAAGAAGGCATACTCAGGTTCTGCCAAGTTGTAGGAACTAGGGAGCACTCAACAGTTTCTACTCCCCTGGAGCTTGGACTTCTTCACAGCCTACTTTGGTAAATATACTCTACTATACTACCATCACTACTTGCTTTTGATTGTCCAGGATAGAACTCAGCATGGGGGCAGGATGAACTGAGTTCTTGATCTGCAAATTCTTTTCCGGTGATTGGAGACAAGAGGGTACATGTTCTGCAGGGGAAAAAAAGCTTTTTGCATGCTCAGTTTGTGCAGCATGAAAAGATCCAGACTCTTGCATCCTAACCAGCCTCATAGACAGAGGACAGGAATCTAAGAAAGTACAGGAAAAAAAGATTATTGCTGAGTGGCAGCACCGGCCCAAAAGGGAAGAGGAGCATGAACATACAAGTTCCTCTGGGGTCAAACAGATTGCTATCTATAGGGCATACTTGATTCTAAGGGCCACATTGGACAGTTCCCTCCAGGTAAAAGAGGTGACTAAAGTGTCTTTTAGGTTCTATGGACAGATTCAGAGAGTGAACAGCAGGAGAGCAGAGAAGCCACAGCTGTTTCTAAGAACAGTAACCAGAGATGCAATGACTGGTGCAGGAGTTAATTCATCAACTTGCTAAATTTCCTTAAGCAGCAACTGGCTGGGCCTTGGATAGCTTCTTGGTACTTCAGAGCAGAGATCAGAGTTAAGAAGCCACATTCCTATTGTGTGGAACTAGGAGAAGAACAACTGTATTTTTAACCCATTCTCTCTCCCCAAGTGAGCACTCAAAATTGCAAAGGTCTGCCCAGGAAGCAAAATACCTCAGTTTATCCCAAGGTTGAAAACAAGTGAACTTAAATCACCACATCACAAAAAGGCAGCTATTTTGAAAGACTAAAAATGTCACTTGGAAATAAAGGTTGGGGGCACACACAGAAATGGGTCAGAATACAATGGAGAGAGAGGGAGGAGCTGTTAATACAGCAACCTACCCGCCACGTTTCTCAGAGGAGCAGGCTCCCGAGCACACAGGCTTTGTAATACCAGACGGTCTATTTGTTCACAATATTAAAGGGCATCTAGAATTAGCTACAGTAAGGGATGGATCGGAAGTTGCCTGAAGAATGGGCACAGAAAGGCTGCGTCCGAAGATGGCCTGTCACTCAGGAGGGTGGAGCTGCTGGGCCTTCCTGTTGACCACTGTCTTGCAAAACTAGAAGAAAAATACAATTATTAAGGAAACAACAAGGGAAAACAGAAGCACACTGTAAATCATCTTAAGGAATTTCAACAGGAGGAAGGATGCCAGTTACAGGGAGAAGCTTCAGGAGACAGGGTACTAAAGTTCCAGAAATGACTGGGAAAGTAGCATCCATTTAATCCTACCCTTCTATCTCCTAGAAGTTGCTGTAAGAACATAGCTCAGGGCTGGGAAGGTGATTCAGTGGTAGAGTGCTTGCCTCCCATGCATGAGGCTCTGGGTTCAGTTCCTCAGCACCACATAAACAGAAAAAGCTGGAAGTGGTGCTGTAGCTCAAGTGGTAGAGCTGAGGGGACAGGGCTCAAACTAGAGTTCAAGTTCTACCACCGACCAAAAAAAAAAAAAAAAAAAAAAAAGAACATAGCCCAGCCAGAGAGCACAGAAATATGCATCACTGCTAGTGACCATTAGCCTTTTAGTGCTAAAGGTCACTAAAGGTTTTTTTTTTGTTTTTTGATTTGGCTTGGTTTTTGCCAGTAGTAGAACTGAACTCAGGACCTTGTGTTTTTGCTTTTTTGCTCACAGCTGGTGCTCTATCATTCAAGCCATGCTTCTAGTCTGACTTTTTGCTTGTTAATTGGAGATGGAGCTTCATAGACTTTTCTGCCAGGACTGGCTTTGAACTGTGTTGCTCTATATCTCAAGCTCCTGAACAGCTAGAATTACAAGTATGAGTCACTTGTGAATGGCTGAGTTTTTCATTGGATCCAATAGTTTTCTCTCAGTGCTTAGCTGGTAGTAGAGCCAGGTTTTTCATTCCATGACCAAGACCACTCAGTGCTAGAATGAGTCTCAAGGTGTGCAGGCAACAGGTAATCAGCATTGGGAACTAATAAACAGAAAGGCATTGGGGAAAATGCCAATGTGAAACAAAGAATGCCATGTCCTACCTAGCCCTATGACCTGGGCAGAAAACACTCTCCCATTATCTGAAAGATGCTGCCTCTGTTGAGGAAAGTTACTTTGTATGGCATCAAAGGAGGAAGGAAACGAAGTGCTTAACCTAACAATGAATGCTAAGAAAAGCTAGCCAGCTTTCC